TTGGGGGGCATCGGGGGCGTCCAGGGTGCAAGTGGAGGTATGGTAATTGTGGCTGTATATTCCTCTGTCAGTGTTGTTGTTGTTGTTGTTTCTTGCTCCCTTTGCTGTTCTGTTAAAATTGTCTTTGTCTCAACCCACAAGTTTTGCCTTTTTCTTCTGATTTTCCCCCCCGGCCGTGGGGGCTCTGGTCTGCGCGAGCGGCTGCATGTGGTCCTTTGTTGCCAAAGGTCTGAGGCCAAACCATGACAGTCCTTTTTGGTGCCCAACGTGGGGCACTTGGAGGGCTGAGATAACAACAGATCTGACCAGAGTGTGCTAAAAAGAATTAATTATCTGTATTTATTGTATTAGTTGCTGGGCACAATGTCGCTTCGTTTGTTTTCATGGCTGTGTTATGTACTTGCATGCTGTATGTACTCCCCATTATGATGTTTATCACCTCTGGGAGAGGGATCAGGATTACAATTTTGCTGTCCTGTGTGATATCAACTTATGATTTGATAGCATCTCTGTTCAGATGGCTTTGTTGGGGTGTTTATTCAGCACTGCTTTCCTGCCCATATCTCGGGGAATTTATTAATAAACGCACTGAGTCTATGAGGGAAGCAGGGGGGATATTTTCTTCAGCTCTATCACCTCCTTTTTCTCTTTCGTGCTGGCTATGCCAGTTTTTGAGAATTTTCAATACCCTTGGGACATGCAAACCAGTTTGGTCCTACTGCTAGGTCTCCTGAATGTGTTTCAGCTCTTGTTCAGGTTTAAGCAACTATTTAAGACTACCACCAGAGATCTGCCCTGAGGCTGGAGAGTTATGGGTGGCATGGCATGTGGGAGAACATGGGCAGGTATCTAGAGAGTTTTTCAACTCCGATGGTCTGGGATTTCACCACCGAACAACTACAGGACCCTGATAAAGTGGTAGAATATTTGAAAGGAAAATGCTGTGGCTATTCCAGAGAGGCACAGCTCACTGCATTGTGCTGGGCCTTGGCCAATATCTACCAAGCATTGCAACCAACACTGCAGCTGCTCCAACCCCTGCAACCAATGCTGCGGCTGCCCCAACCCCTGCGACAGACACTGTGGCTGCTCCAAACCCCTGCAGTAGACACTGCAGCTGCTCCAAAGATTTCAGCCAACTTCCAGGCGAGCACATTGTCACCTGGCTGCTCCGGTGCTGGGATAACGGAGCCAGTAGCTTGGAATTGGAGGGTAGGGAAGCCAGGCAGCTGGGATCTCTGTCTGGGGAGGGGTGTATTGACAAGGCAATTGGGAAGAAGACACAGGTCCTCAGCCTCTGGAGGTTACTCCTATCAGGTGTGAGGGAAAGGTACCCCTTCAGTGAAGATGTTGTATGCCATCCGAGCAAGTGGACCGCCATGGAAAGAGGTATCCAGTACCTGAGAAACTAGCCATGCGGGAGATGATTTATTGTGACCTGGACAATGCACAGTCACCCACAGATCCTGATGAGGTCCAGTGCACAAGGTCCATGTGGAGGAAGTTTGTACGGAGCGCCCCATCGTCATATGCCAACTCATTGGCAGTGATGGAATGGAGAAGTGAAGAGGGACCAATGGTGGATGAAGTGGCTGCCCGACTTCAACAATATGAAGAAAGTCTCTCTTCTCCCCTTGTCTCAGCTGTGGAGAAACTGTCCTGGAAGGTCCAGCAACTTGAAGAGAGTATGTCCTCCCCACCTGTACGAGCCAGTATCTCAGCTGTTAGGAGCAGACACTTCTCCACTCAAGATAGAGAATACAGGGGGTACACACCACGAAGCACCCTGTGGTTCTGCCTGCGTGACCATGGAGAGGACATGAGGAAGTGGGATGGACAACCTACTTCAGTCCTACAGGCACGGGTACAGGAACTGCAAGGAAGAACCACCACAAAAGGGGATCCCTCCAGGAAAAGTGCTGCCCCAGTTTCCAATGTGCAGTTCCCCAGACAGTATAGAAGGCCTGAACCTACTTCTGATCCCCTTGAAGGAACCTCCAAATCATTTCTGCAACAAGCAAGTAACGGATACTATGACCACTATTAGGGGGGCCCTGCCTCCGGCCAGGTGGGGGAAAGGGACAACCGGATTTATTGGACAGTGTGGATTCGATGGCCTGGCACGTCAGAGCCACAGGAGTATAGAGCTTTAGTGGACACGGGTGCACAGTGTACCATAATACCATCAAGCCATACAGGGACAGAACGCATCTGTATTTCTGGAGTGACAGGGGGATCCCAAGAGTTGACTGTACTGGAAGCTGAAGTGAGCCTAACTGGAAATGAGAGGCAAAAGCATCCCATTGGGACTGGCCCAGATGCTCCATGCATCCTTGGTATAGATTATCTCAGGAGAGGATATTTTAAGGATCCAAAAGGGTACCGGTGGGCTTTTGGCATAGCTGCATTGGAGGCGGAAGAAGTTAAACAGCTGTCTACCTTGCCTGGTATCTCAGAGGACCCTTCTGTTGTAGGGTGTGTGGTCCTTTGTTGCCAAAGGTCTGAGGCCAAACCATGACAGTCCTTTTTGGTGCCCAACGTGGGGCACTTGGAGGGCTGAGATAACAACAGATCTGACCAGAGTGTGCTAAAAAGAATTAATTATCTGTATTTATTGTATTAGTTGCTGGGCACAATGTCGCTTCGTTTGTTTTCATGGCTGTGTTATGTACTTGCATGCTGTATGTACTCCCCATTATGATGTTTATCACCTCTGGGAGAGGGATCAGGATTACAATTTTGCTGTCCTGTGTGATATCAACTTATGATTTGATAGCATCTCTGTTCAGATGGCTTTGTTGGGGTGTTTATTCAGCACTGCTTTCCTGCCCATATCTCGGGGAATTTATTAATAAACGCACTGAGTCTATGAGGGAAGCAGGGGGGATATTTTCTTCAGCTCTATCACCTCCTTTTTCTCTTTCGTGCTGGCTATGCCAGTTTTTGAGAATTTTCAATACCCTTGGGACATGCAAACCAGTTTGGTCCTACTGCTAGGTCTCCTGAATGTGTTTCAGCTCTTGTTCAGGTTTAAGCAACTATTTAAGACTACCACCAGAGATCTGCCCTGAGGCTGGAGAGTTATGGGTGGCATGGCATGTGGGAGAACATGGGCAGGTATCTAGAGAGTTTTTCAACTCCGATGGTCTGGGATTTCACCACCGAACAACTACAGGACCCTGATAAAGTGGTAGAATATTTGAAAGGAAAATGCTGTGGCTATTCCAGAGAGGCACAGCTCACTGCATTGTGCTGGGCCTTGGCCAATATCTACCAAGCATTGCAACCAACACTGCAGCTGCTCCAACCCCTGCAACCAATGCTGCGGCTGCTCCAACCCCTGCAACCAATGCTGCGGCTGCCCCAACCCCTGCGACAGACACTGTGGCTGCTCCAAACCCCTGCAGTAGACACTGCAGCTGCTCCAAAGATTTCAGCCAACTTCCAGGCGAGCACATTGTCACCTGGCTGCTCCGGTGCTGGGATAACGGAGCCAGTAGCTTGGAATTGGAGGGTAGGGAAGCCAGGCAGCTGGGATCTCTGTCTGGGGAGGGGTGTATTGACAAGGCAATTGGGAAGAAGACACAGGTCCTCAGCCTCTGGAGGTTACTCCTATCAGGTGTGAGGGAAAGGTACCCCTTCAGTGAAGATGTTGTATGCCATCCGAGCAAGTGGACCGCCATGGAAAGAGGTATCCAGTACCTGAGAAACTAGCCATGCGGGAGATGATTTATTGTGACCTGGACAATGCACAGTCACCCACAGATCCTGATGAGGTCCAGTGCACAAGGTCCATGTGGAGAAAGTTTGTACGGAGCGCCCCATCGTCATATGCCAACTCATTGGCAGTGATGGAATGGAGAAGTGAAGAGGGACCAATGGTGGATGAAGTGGCTGCCCGACTTCAACAATATGAAGAAAGTCTCTCTTCTCCCCTTGTCTCAGCTGTGGAGAAACTGTCCTGGAAGGTCCAGCAACTTGAAGAGAGTATGTCCTCCCCACCTGTACGAGCCAGTATCTCAGCTGTTAGGAGCAGACACTTCTCCACTCAAGATAGAGAATACAGGGGGTACACACCACGAAGCACCCTGTGGTTCTGCCTGCGTGACCATGGAGAGGACATGAGGAAGTGGGATGGACAACCTACTTCAATCCTACAGGCACGGGTACAGGAACAGCAAGGAAGAACAACCACAAAAGGGGATTCCTCCAGGAAAAGTGCTGCCCCAGTTTCCAAACTCCGATGGTCTGGGATTTCACCACCGAACAACTACAGGACCCTGATAAAGTGGTAGAATATTTGAAAGGAAAATGCTGTGGCTATTCCAGAGAGGCACAGCTCACTGCATTGTGCTGGGCCTTGGCCAATATCTACCAAGCATTGCAACCAACACTGCAGCTGCTCCAACCCCTGCAACCAATGCTGCGGCTGCTCCAACCCCTGCAACCAATGCTGCGGCTGCCCCATATAGACAGACAGAGCCCATTTGTATTTCTGGAGTGACAGGGGGATCCCAAGAGTTGACTGTACTGGAAGCTGAAGTGAGCCTAACTGGGAATGAGTGGCAAAAGCATCCCATTGGGACTGTCCCAGATGCTCCATGTATCCTTGGTATAGATTATCTCAGGAGAGGATATTTTAAGGATCCAAAAGGGTACCGGTGGGCTTTTGGCATTGCTGCCTTGGAGGCGGAAGAAGTTAAACAGCTGTCTACCTTGCCTGGTATCTCAGAGGACCCTTCTGTTGTAGGGCTGTTGAAGGTTGAAGAACAACAGCTGCCGATTGCTACCACAACAGTTCATCGGCGGCAATATCGAACCAACTGAGACTCTCTGATCCCCATCCATGAGCTGATTTGTCAACTAGAGATTCAAGGAGTGATCGGCAAGACTCACTCAGCCTTTAACAGTCCCATATGGCCGGTGAGGAAATCTAATGGAGAGTGGAGGCTGACTGTGGGCTATCGTGGCCTCAACGAAGTCACGCCACCGCTGAGTGCTGCCGTGCCGGACATGTTAGAACTTCAATACGAACTGGAGTCCAAGGCAGCCAGGTGGTATGCCACAATTGATATCGCCAATGCATTCTTCTCAATCCCTCTGGCAGCAGAGTGCAGAGCACAGTTCGCTTTCACTTGGAGAAGTGTCCAGCCCACCTGGAATTGACTGCCCCAGGGGGGGAAACACAGCCCCACCATTGGCCATGGACTGATCCAGACTGCACTGGAACAGGGTGAAGCTCCAGAACATCTGCAGTACATTGACTGCAGATATCGTCATATGGGGCAACAGAGCAGAAGAAGTTTTTGAGAAGGGGCATAAAATAATTCAAATCCTTCTGAAAGCTGGTTTCGCTATAAGACGGGGTAAGGTCAAGGGACCTGCACAGGAGATCCAGTTTTTAGGAGTAAAATGGCAAGATGGACGCCGTCAGATCCCAACGGATGTGATCAATAAGATAGCAGCTATGTCCCCACCAACTAGTAAGAAGGAAGCACAAGCTTTCCTAGGCATTGTGGGTTTTTGGAGGATGCATATCCCAGATTACAGTCTGATTGTGAGCCCTCTGTATCAAGTTACCCGGAAGAAGAACGATTTTAAATGGGGTCCTGAGCAACGACAAGCTTTTGAACAAATTAAACAGGAAATAGTCCATGCAGTAGCCCTGGGGCCAGTCCGGGCAGGACAAGATGTTAAAAATGTGCTCTACACCGCAGCTGGGGAGAACGGCCCTACCTGGAGCCTGTGGCAGAAAGCCCCAGGGGAGACACGCGGTCGACCCCTAGGATTTTGGAGTCGGGGATACAGAGGATCCGAAGCCCGCTATACTCCAACAGAAAAGGAGATACTGGCAGCATATGAAGGGGTTCGATCTGCTTCAGAAGTGGTTGGTACAGAAGCACAGCTCCTCTTGGCACCCCGGCTGCCAGTGCTGGGTTGGATGTTCAAAGAAAGAGTCCCTACCACACATCATGCAACGGATGCTACGTGGAGTAAGTGGATTGCACTGATCACTCAGCGAACTCGAATGGGAAACCCCAGTCGCCCAGGAATTCTAGAGGTGATTATGGACTGGCCAGAAGGCAAGGATTTTGGAATGTCACCAGAGGAGGAGGTGATGCGTGCAGAAGAGGCTCCACCATATAATGAACTACCAGAAGATGAGAGGAGATATGCCCTGTTCACTGATGGGTCCTGCCGGATTGTGGGAAAGCATAGGAAGTGGAAGGCTGCTGTGTGGAGTCCTACAAGACAAGTTGCAGAAGCCACTGAAGGACAAGGTGAATCAAGCCAATTTGCAGAGGTGAAAGCAATTCAGCTGGCTTTGGACATTGCCGAGCGGGAAAAATGGCCGGTACTTTATCTCTACACCGACTCATGGATGGTGGCAAATGCTTTGTGGGGGTGGTTACAGCAGTGGAAGCAGCAGAATTGGCAGCGCAGAGGCAAACCTGTCTGGGCTGCGGAATTGTGGCAAGATATCGCTGCCCGGGTAGAGAATCTGGTTGTGAAAGTACGTCATGTAGATGCCCATGTACCCAAGAGCCGGGCCACTGAGGAACATCAGAATAACCAGCAAGTGGATCGGGCTGCCAAGATTGAAGTGGCTCAGGTGGATCTGGACTGGCAACATAAGGGCGAATTATTCTTAGCTCGATGGGCCCATGACTCTTCAGGCCATCAAGGGAGAGATGCTACATATAGATGGGCTCGGGACCGAGGGGTGGATTTGACCATGGACATTATTGCACAGGTCATCCATGAATGTGAGACATGCGCTGCAATCAAGCAAGCCAAGCGATTAAAGCCCCTTTGGTATGGAGGACGATGGCTGAAATACAAATATGGGGAGGCCTGGCAGATTGATTATATTACACTTCCACGGACCCGTCAAGGCAAGCGCTATGTGCTCACAATGGTGGAAGCAACCACTGGATGGCTGGAAACATACCCTGTGCTCCATACCACCGCCCGGAACACCATCCTGGGCCTTGAAAAGCAAGTTCTGTGGCGACATGGCACCCCAGAGAGAATTGAGTCAGACAACGGGACTCATTTCCGAAACAGTCTCATTGACACCTGGGCCAAAGAGCATGGTATTGAGTGGGTTTACCACATTCCCTATCGTGCACCAGCCTCTGGGAAGATAGAACGGTACAATGGACTGTTAAAAACTGCACTGAGAGCAATGGGTGGTGGGACTTTTAAAAATTGGGATACACATTTAGCAAAGGCTACCTGACTAGTTAATTGCTAAATGACCCTGCCACTGTACATCTCACTTTGGTGACTGCTATTGATTGTACCATAGTAAGAATCACCCAAACTAATGACAGATGGACTCTGATGAAAAACTGAGTAAAGTGCAGCCGTGAAGGGACCAGCAATTTCATTGAGATCAACATCTCCAACCCATGGACCAAGGACATGAGCTGCACCGGATACATCAGCCACAAGGCCCAAAAAAGATACAATGTGCGACAGTCCAGCCCCCACGTGCACCATCTTGCATGCCCTGAGAGACTGTTCTAACAGATGGAGCTTGAAGTCATGAACTCAATGGACATTTTAGAGTGACGACCCATAGACTAAGGATGTTATACCTGTATGTGTATATATATGTGTGTGTATATATATATACATCAGGAGAAACTGACAGTATACAACTGGAAACTGTAGGATCTGGGCATGGCATTAAATGGTATGGAATAAGGGGTGGATGATGTCCTGGGTCTGGCAGGGATGGGGTTAATTCTCCCCAGGACCTAGCAGGGACACAGGTATTGCATCCCATGTGGGCCATGCCCAAGGGGTAGCCGGGGAAGGGGGAGGGACAGGAGGTCAGCGGGGGGCAAGAGGAGGTGACCCCTGGGGGAGGAGAGTGGGTGGGGGGTGTCCAGGGTAATCGTGGTTGTATATTCCTCTCTCAGTGTTATTGTTGTTATTTCTTGCTCCCTTTACTGTTCTGTTAAATTGCCTTTGTCTCAACCCACGAGTTTTGCCTTTTTCTTCTGATTTTCCCCTCCTGGCCATGCTGGCGGCGGTGGGGACTCTCTTCTGCGCGAGCGGCTGCTACGTGGTCCTTTGTTGCCGTCTGAGGCCAAACCACGACAGGGTCATTTTTAGGGTGGGAGTCATGACTTTCTGGAGCAGTTCCCACCCCCAAGGATACCTCTTTCTTCTCCTTCGAGTCCTGCTGCTCCCTCTCCAGTTTCTCCAGGGACTTTGGGCCATGGGGAGGGCAAAGCAACACCCATGGGATGGAGAGGACACCACTCATGCCTGGCTGGCCCCTTGCCATGTGATGCCTGTAAATTAATGTGGGTGCAATGTTTATCTCTCTGTGTCATTCTTCTTCACCCAGCACAGTTCAGAGTGGTAGGACCAGGCCGACCTCTCCTTGCCACCGTGGGACAGGACGTCATGCTGCCGTGTCACTTGTCCCCAGGCATGGACGCTCGGAGGTTGGAGATCAGGTGGATCCGGCACCTGGTCTCTGAAACGGTGCACCTCTACCGAAACGGAGCAGACCAGCACTTGGACCAGATGAAGGAATACGCTGGAAGGACAGAGTTATCCAGAGATGGTCTCTCCCGTGGGAGCCTGGACTTGCGGATCTCTGGGTTGAGACCCTCTGATGATGGCCAGTACGTCTGCACTGTGCAAGATGCTGCCTCTTATAGAGAAGCTCTGGTGGAACTAAAGGTGGCAGGTTTGTGGCTGCTGTGTTGTTTCGTGGGGATGGTGCAGGTGTCCCTGGGTTGGTGCGTCCCTCTCATAGCTCTGTCCCATCCTCACATCCATCCATTCGGTACTGAAGGCAATGAGCCTTTGAGAGTGGTCAGGTGCGAGGGGTCTCTTCCCATCTGTGCCTGCTGAGGAGGGAGCATGCTCATGCTGCTGGAGGGGGTTTGGGGGGCAGGCAGCATGGACGCAGTAGCTTTCGGTCTCTGTGGTGTCCTCATGATGCTGTGTTGGTGCAGAGATGCTGCCTTGAGGTGCCAAAGCTCGGCCGCTCGGTGCTGCTCTGCCAGGCTGTTTTATGGGAGATCTGGGATAATTTGGCCTCAGTGCTCTCTGGTTCCTGCAGATGTTGGAGTGGGTTGGGAGGTGTGAGGAGCATGTGCCTGGCCCCACAGCCCCTTGGGCACCCTGGGATGTGTCTGGCATGGGGTTTGGGTCTTGACCTTTGAGCTGGGTTCATCCCTGACTCAGAGCAACCCTGGGCTCTTCCCCCAGCCATGGGCTCTGTCCCTCTCCTCTCTCTGGAGGTTTACAATGATGGAGGCATCCAGGTGGTGTGTCGATCGGCCGGCTGGTACCCACCACCGGAGCTGCTGTGGAAGGATGGCAGCGGGCAGCATCTCCCCTCGGTCTCCCAGACAAGTTCCCCAGACGCAAGAGGCCTCTTTGAGATCCAAGATGTCATCGTTGTGAGCGGGAAGGGAGATGTGAACGTGTCGTGCGTGGTGAGGAACAGCCGCCTGGAGCAGGAGCAGGAGTCGTCCCTGCACATCTCAGGTGCAGGATGGCAGCAGGGCTGGGGATGGCCATGCTGCTTGGGAGGGTCTGATCTTGGGGGGCTGGAGAAATATGCAAGGAGTAAGGGGAGGGGGCTGCACCCGCAAGTGCGTTTTATCACAGGAGATAACATGATCCTGGTGTGCTTCAGCAGAGCAGTGGGATGGGGAGGAGGATGTCCTCTTGAGCCCAGGGCTCCCAGCACAAGACTTGAGGAGCTGGAACTTTGGAGTTGTTATGGTTTTCTTCTCTTCTCCTCACACAGGGGAGTGTAAAATGAGGCCTTTTCCTCATATTTTTTTGTTTCTCAGCTCCCTTTTCCCACAATGGCATTCCCTGGATGGCAGCTGTGGGTGTGCTCCTTGTACTTGTAGTGGTGCTTTTTGGTGTCATTGCTTATCTCTTCCGAAGGAAAGGTAAGTTTCCAGTGAGGGGGATGAGGTGGAGAAGGTTGGCGTGGAGGGAAGCTGAACCCTGGCCCATGGACATACACAGAACAGGATCAGAGTTGTGTCACCACAATGTTTTGCCTTTATTAAGGAAGGTCTTTATTCAAAGGAAGGCTGGGGACAAGGACAGAGGGTGTGGGTGAGAGGACAGGGAGCATGGGCAGAGCATCTGGCTGGTGGGAAGGTCCAAGAGACCCTGGGGAGATGGTCCAAGTGATGAAGCAGCTGCTCTCCTGACCTCCTCTTCCTCTACCTTTGCTTTCCAGTGGTGCTGTCCAGAGCGCTGGGTGAGTCCTTCTGGCTCCTGCCACCAGCAAAGCCTCCTGAGAAAGGAGTCTTTGGAACGTGGCTTTGGACGGGTCTTGATGGTTCTCTGGTCATTGATGTGTGTTGCTGGAGCCCAGATGGGCAGTGGAGAGCACTGGTGTTGGCAACTGGTCACGGGAGGTGTCCTGGCTCATGGGAAGAAATGGGGAGCAGTATTGAGTGAGCTTAAATCAGGCTGAGCCTTAAATCTCTGCTTAAGTCATGTGTAATTTCCGAGAGCCTGGCTGGGCTGGGGTGGGGATAGGAGGGCAGAGAGCACCCTTTTTGGAAAAGGGACTTTTCCCATTCCCCAAACAGAAGGAGTTTGGACTCAGCCAAGGGGTGAGAAGCTGTCCCCTCTGATCACTCATTGATTTTTTTTTTCCTTTTCAGGGAAACGAGATGCAGAACTGGGTGAGTCTCCATGAGCTCTTCCTGTCTCCTGTCCTCTTCTGGGTGCTTTGTATTTGGCCCCTTCCCCTCTTGCCCAACCCCTCCACCCCTGAGTCCTCTGGGGCCTCGGGAAACCCCTGTTGGGATGTGTCTAGTGGGGTGGGCAGCTCAGGGACACCAGAATAGGGCTGGACTCTCTCCCCTGCCTAGGGACCATAAGTGGGACGTGACCACACTGGAGGGACACATCCTGGGACCCAGGGAGTGTTTTCCCACTCCCCCAAAAAGGAGGAGTTTGGGGTTTCCCCAGCTCTGCTTACTCCTTCCTGGGCACTTCTGGGATGAGAAGCTGTTCTCTCTGACCAAATATTGCTTTTGCTTTCCTGGGGAACAAGTTGCGCCTTTGGGTGAATCTCCGTGAACTCCTGCTGGCTCGGTGTCCACTCCTGGTTGCTCTGTGCTCAACCCTTCCCCACCTGGACTGTCGTCTCTATCCCTGCATCCCCTGGATCTGGACAAATCCTGAGGGGATGTGCATGGTGCATGGCCAGCTCAGGGACAACAGAGGAGTCTTGATCCTCTCCCATGCCCAAAGTACCTGGCCACCAGCCATGAGACATTGCCAGGCTGGAGGGAGCCATTCACAGGTTTGGGGCTCTGTTCCCACTCCCCAAACAGAATGAGTTTGGGCTCTGCCCGAGCTCTACCCACTGCTGCAGGAGCTGCCATGGGGTGAGAAGCCATCCCCTCTCATCACTCATTGCTTCTCCTCTCCTTGCACACCAGCCTTGAGATGGATCCAGGCTCAGAGGGAGCCATTCCCGTGGTTTGCGGGTGTTTTCCCACTCCCCAGACAAAAGGAGTTTGAGCTCTGGATGAGCTCTTTCCACTCCTGCAGGAGCAGATGAGGGATGAGAAGCTGTCCCTGCTGATCAAATATTGATTTTGTCTTTTTCTTTCCAGAGGAACGAGGTAAAGCACTGGGTGAGTCTCTGTGATCTCCTCCTGGCTCGGTGTTCTCTCCCTGGTGCTCTGTACTCGGCCCCTTCCCCCTTGCCTGTCCTCTCCATCGTGCATCCCGGAAAACCGTGAGGGGATGTGCCTGGGTGGGTGAGCAGGTCGAAGACACCAGAGCAGGGATGGACCCTCTCCAACGTACAGACCTGCTGGGCAAAAGACATGGGATGTGACCAGGCTGGAGGGAGCCATTTACAGGGTTTGGGAGTGTTTTCCCACATCCCAGAAAGGAGGAGTTTGGGATCTGCCCACGCCTGTGGTTGCAGGCGTGTGATAAGAAGATGTTCTCTCTGATCACTCATTGCTTCTGTTTTTCCTTTCCAGAGCAACAAGATGCAGCACTGGGTGAGTGTCCGTGAGCTCCTTCTGTCTCTCTACCGGGGTTCTGTAACGGGGGCTCTGTGCTCGGTCCCTTTCCTCCTTGCCTGTCCCCGTTGTCCCTGCATCCCCTGGGGCCTGGGGAAACCCTGAGGGTCCGTGCCTGAGCGGGTGGGCAACCTGGGGACACCAGAGAAGGGATGGACCCTCTCCCATGCCCAGACCTGCTGGGCAAAAGACATGGGATGTGACCAGGCTGGAGGGAGCCATTTACAGGGTTTGGGAGTGTTTTCCCACATCCCAGAAAGGAGGAGTTTGGGATCTGACCTCTCCTGTGGTTGCAGGTGTGTGATGAGAAGGTGTAATCTCTGATCACTCATTGCTTTTGTTTTTCCTTTCCAGGGAATCGAGAAGCAGAATTGGGTGAGTCTCCATGAGCTCCACATATCTCGGTGTCTTCTCCCAGGTGCTCTGTGCCTGACCCTTCCCCCCTTGCCCATCCTCTCCATCCCTGCATCCTCTGGGTGCAGGAAAACCCCAAGAAGATGTGCCTTGGGGGGTGGGCATCTCGGGGACACCAGAGAGGTCTGGACCCTCTCCCATACCCAGACCTGCCAGCCAATAGACATGGAATATGACCAGGCTGAAGGGAGCCATTCACAGGCCTAGGGATTGGTTCCCATTACCCAAAGAGAGGAATTTGGGATCTGCCCAAGCTCTGCCCACTCCTACAGGAGCAGTCATGTGATGAGAAGCTGTCCCCTCTCATCACTTATGGCTTCTGTTTTTCCTTTCCAGAGCAACGAGATGCAGCACTGAGTGAGTCTCCCTGGTCTCCTCCTGCCTCGGTGTCTTCTCCCTGGTGCTCTGTGCTTGACGCTTCCCCCCCTTGCCCATCCTCTCCATCCCTGCATCCCCTGGGTCAGAACAAATCCCAAGGGGATGTGCCTGGGGGCATGGACAGCTCGGGGACAGCAGAGCAGGGCTTGATCCTTTCCCCTCACCAGAGTCTCTGGGGACAGTTTATGGAACTTAACCAGGCTGGAGGGAGCCATGCCCAGGTTTTGGGGGTGTTTTCACACTCTGAACAAAGAGGAGTTTGGGATCTGCCCACTCCTGTGGTTGCAGGTGTGTGATGAGAAGATGTTTTCTCTGATCACTCATTGCTGCTGTTTTTCCTTTGCAGGGATTCGAGAATCAGATTTGGGTGAGTCTCTGTGACCTCCTCCTGGCTTGGTGTCCTCTCCCGGGTGCTCTGTGTTCAACCCTTCCCCACCTTGCCCGTCCTCTCCATCCCTGCATCCCCTACGTGTGGGTAAACCCCGAGGGGATGTTCCTGGGTGGGTGGGCAGCTGGGGACACCAGATCAGGAGTGGATCCTCTCCCCTGCGCAGACCTGATGGCCACCAGCCATAGGACGTGACCAGGTTAAAGGGAGCCATTCACAGGCTTTGGGGGTCTGTTCCCAGTCCCCAGACAGGAGGAGTTTGGGCTCTACCCGAGCTCTACCCACTCCAACGGGAGCAGCTCGTGGATGAGAAGCTGTGCCCACTCATCACTCATTGCTTTTGTTTTTCCTCTCTAGACCGACGAGATGCAGCACTGAGTGAGTCTCCGTGAGCTCCTTCTGGCTTGGTGTCTTCTCCCGGGTGCTCTGGGTTCAGCCCTTTCCCTCTTGCCCATCCTCTCCAACCCTGTATCCCCTGGGTCCACCGAAACCGTGAGGGGAGATTACTGGGGGGGTGGTGGGCAGCTTGGGGACACAAGAGCAGGGGTGGACCCTCTCCCCTGACCAGAATCCCTGGGGACCAGTTGTGGCACTTGACCAGGCTGGAGGGAGCCATTTACAGGCTTTGGGAGTGTTTTTCCCACGCTGGAAAAAAAGGAGGAGCTTGGGATCTGCCCACTCCTGTGGTTGCAGGTGTGTGATGAGAAGATGTTCTCTCTGATCACTCATTGCTTCTGCTTTTCCTTTGCAGGGAATCGAGAAGCAGAACTGGGTGAGTCTCGATTATCTCCTCCTGGCTTGGTGTCCTCTCCCGGGTGCTCTGTGCTCAATCCTTTCCACCTTGCCCATCGTCTCCATCCCTGCATCCCCTACATGTGGGTAAACCCCGAGGGGATGTTCCTGGGGTGGTGGGCAGCTTGGGGACATGAGATCAGGAATGGAGCCTCTCCCCTACCCAGACCTGATGGACACCAGCCATGGGAGGCTGGAGGAGCCATTCACAAGGTTTGGGGGTCTGTTCCCAGTCCCCAGACAGAAGGAGTTTGGGCTCTGCCCAGACTCTGCGCAATCCAATAGGAGCAGCTAGTGGATGAGAAGCTGTCCCCTCTCATCAATCATTGCTTCTGTTTCTCCTTTCTAGAGCAACAACCTGTAGTACCGGGTAAGTCTCCCTGGTCTCCTCCTGGCTCGGTGTCTTCTACCTGGTGCTCTGTGCTTGACGCTTCCCCATCTTGCCCATCTTCTCCATCCCTGCATCCCCTGGGTCAGAACAAATCCCAAGGGGATGTGCCTGGGGGCATGGACAGCTCGGGGACAGCAGAGCAGGGCTTGATCCTTTCCCCTCACCGGAGTCTCTGGGGACAGTTTATGGGACTTAACCAGCCTGGAGGGAGCCATGCTCAGGGTTTGGGGGTGTTCTCCCACTCTGAACAAAGAGGAGTTTGGGATCTGCCCACTCCTGTGGTTGCAGGTGTGTGATGAGATGTTCCTTCTGATCTCCCATTGCTTCTGTTTTTCCTTTGCAGGGAATCGAGAAGCACCTCTGGGTGAGTCTCTGTGACCTCCTTCTGGCTCGGTGTCCTCTCCCGGGTGCTCTGTGCTTGATGCTTCCCCACCTTGCCCATCCTCTCCATCCCTGCATCCCCTGGGTGTGGGTAAACAGATGGAATGGACCCTCTGCCCTGTCCAGATCTAATGGCCACCAGCCATGGGACATGACCAGGCTGGAGGAGCCATTCACAGTCTTTAGGGGTCTGTTCCCAGTCCCCAGACAGAAGGAGTTTGGAATCTGCCCAAGCTCTACCCACTCCAACAGGAGCAGGTAGTGGATGAGAAGCTGTGCCGTCTCATCACTCATTGCTTCTCTTTCTCCTTTCTAGACCAACGACCTGCAGCACCGAGTGAGTCTCTTTGAGCTTCTCCTGGCTCGGTGTCTTCTCCTGAGTGCTCTGGGCTCAGACCCTTTCCCTTTTGCCTGTCCCCACCATCCCTGTATCCCTTGCGTCCGGTCAACCCCTGAGGGGAGGTGCCTGGGAGGGTTGTCAATTTGGAAAGCTCAGAGCAGGGATACCCTCTCTCCCATGCCCAAAGTACCTGGCCACCAGCCATGAGACATTGCCAGGCTGGAGGGAGCCATTCCCGTGGTTTGGGGCTCTGTTCCAACTCCCCAAGTTGGGATCTGCCCGAGCTCTGCCCACTCCAATAGGAGCAGCTATGGGGTGAGAAGCCGTCCCCTCTCATCACTCATTGCTTCTGTTTGTCCTTTACAGAGAAACGAGCTGCAGCACTGGGTGAGTCTGTGAGCTCCTCCTGTCTCTGTGTCCTCTCCCGGGTGCTCTGTGATCAGCCCTTTCCCCCCTTTCCTGTCCTTCCCATCCCTACATCCCCTGGTTCCAGGCAAACCCCAAGGGGATATTCCTGTTTTGGTTGGCAACTTGGGGATAGCAGCCAAGGGATCACCCCTCTCCCCTGCCCAGAGTCCCTGGGGACCAGCCCTGGGACATGACCAGGCTGGAGGGAGCCATTCAGAGGGTATGGGGTCCTTTCCAGCTCCCCAAACAGAATGAGTTCGGGCTCTGCCCAAGCTCTGCCCACTGCTGCAGGAGCTGCCATGGGGTGAGAAGCTGTCCCTTCTCATCACTCATTGCTTCTCTTTCTCCTTTCTAGAGCAACGACCTGCAGCACCGGGTAAGTCTCCGTGAGCTCCTCCTGGCTCGGTGTTCTATCATGGGTGCTCTGTGGCCAACACTTTCTGCCCTTGCCCATCTTCTCCCTCCATACGTCCCCTGGGTCCAGGCAAACCCTGAGGGGTGTTGCCTGGGGCGGTGGGCAGACTGGGGACACCAGCCCAGGGATGGACCCTCTCCCCTGCCCAGAGTTGATGGGGAACAGCCATGGGATGTGACCTGATCTTCTCTTTCCGTAGAGCGGAGAAATTTTCTGCATCCTCAGAATCGAGGTAAGGGGGTACTTAATTTTATTGGATGTCTTTTTATGGGGAGTTCTCCTCCTTTTCCCTGTTTGGGAGGTGTACCTGGGCTGGCCAGTGAAGAGAGTTTTAAATTGAAAGAGGAGAGATTTAGATGAGAAGAAAGTCTTTGCTGTGAGGGTGGTGAGACTCTGGCCCAGGTTTGCCAGAGAAGCTGTGGCTGCCCCATCCCTGGAAGAGTTCAAGGCCAGATTGTTGCTATGGAAACAGCCCCACCCTACCCGTCCTGCACCCCTTATTTTGGGCATGGGCTCCCCATGCATAAGGTGAGATATTGGGGACAGCAGGGAACATGGCCTCCCCAGGGATGGGAGGTCCCCAAGGTGACAGGGCACAGCTGGGGTGTCTCAACATTTGAAGCCTCCCCAACCCCATCTAGTCCCCTCGTCCCTGGCTCCCCACAAGCTCCCGGCTGTTGTGGAGCTGCAGGGACACTACTCCTCTGACATGTCCAAAAATCACAATGAGGCTCTCAGCTCTGCATGATTCCTCCCCAAAAATCCTTATTGTCCTTCATTTTCCATTGTTTTTCTCCTTGTTTTGGTTCCTGGGACCCATGAGCTGCCGAGTTTTTCTCCCAAATAGAAATGTCCTGAAACACCAATAAAAACCCCCAAGAGATGGATGGAGCAGAACCGGCGCAGGTGGATGATTCATCATGGTCTGGTTTGGACTTCTCTCCTTCCTTTGCAACAATGGCCTTACACAGGAAAATCAGCCCTTTTGGGTGAAAAAGCCCCGCTTATTTATGGGTGCAAAACCTTGCCAAAGTCCCTGCTCCAGCACAGGCTGCCGGAGAGGCACAGCCCTGGGAAAAGCCACCCCCACCCACGCCCATCCAGGAACGGGGAGGGGGATTGTTTCGCATCGGTGCTTTGCCACTGGCAGGTTATTAAATGACCCTGGCCTTGTTGATGTGGCTCAGTTCTGGATGAGGAACCTGAGCTCACAATGAGGGAGGTGGAGGCTTAAATCACTTCCTGGAATTCTGGACCCTGGAAACTGGCACAGGTTGGAGACTACACATTGGGTGAGAGAAATTTCTTTCTGCAGGGGAATTTAGAATATTTAATTATTTTAAAGTCTTTGGAAGGGATTTAGAATAAATCCTGGGGAGGGAAGTGGGGCAGACCAGGGTCTGCACTGGGAGCCCTGCATGGATCCCGTCCGTCCCTTGACCAAGGGCTCCTTCCAACGTCAGGGTGCAGGTGGTTTGGTGGAATTTCTGGAGCGGTGTTGGGGGCAGGTGCAGACCTTCTTCCCCATCCCCTCTGTGGCGGCTGTAACCCCCCCCTTGCCCTCCCTCTGCCTCCCTTCCCACCCTCTTCTCCAGCTCTGGCCACAGATGGGGTTCCCCACGAGCCCATGGGGCCTCCTCAGTCATTTCCTGACTTTCCACCTCCTCCGGCTGGGATCAGGTAGGGATCCTGCAGGGCTGGGGGGGCTGAGCGTGCTCTGGGTGGCAGATGTGGGGCAGGGGAGGTGCTGTGGGGCAGGAGGAACTGAGCCCAGGGCTAGGCCTCACATTGCTTTCACTTTTCCTTGGTCTTGTAATGTCACAGACCCTTTGCCCTGGGACATCTTCCCTCACACCCCATGGTGCTCCCCCAAAGCCTTTGTCCCTTCTGCCAGGGCTGGCTGGGGTGGAGGAGGAACTGAGCCCAGAGCTCAGCCGTGCATTGCTTTCACTTTCCCTTGGTCTTGTGATGCCACACATCCATTGTCCTGGGACACGTTCAATTCTGCCCTGACGTGTTCCCCCAAAGCCTTTGTCCCTTCTGCCAGGGCTGCTTTGAGTGGGGAGGGGGTCATTTTAAGGTGTGGGGGGGGGCATGATTTTCTGGAGCAGTTCCCACTGCCAGGAAACATCCTTCTCCTTCGAGTCCTCCTGCTCCCTCTCCAGTTTCCCCAGTGTCTTTGGGCCGCAGGGAGGGCAAAGCAACGCCTGCGGGATTCATCAGGCATTGTTCATACCAAGCTGGCCTCTTGCCATGCCCCTAAATTAACATGGGTGTAATCTCTGTCTCCCTGTGTCCTTCTCCATCACCCAGCGGAGTTCAGAGTGGTGGGACCAGGCCGACCTCTCCTTGCCACCATGGGGCAGGACGTCGTGCTGCCGTGTCACTTGTCCCCAGAGGTGGACGCTCAGAGGTTGGAGATCAGGTGGATCCGGTACCTGGTCTCTGAAACGGTGCACCTCTACCAACACGGAGCAGACCAGTATGGTGAGCAGATGAAGGAATATGCTGGAAGGACAGAGTTGGCCAGAGATGGTCTCTCCCGTGGGAGCCTGGACTTGCGAATCTCTGGGTTGAGACCCTCTGATGATGGCCAGTACGTCTGCACTGTGCAAGATGCTGCCTCTTATGGAGAAGCTGTGGTGGAGCTGAAGGTGGCAGGTTTGTGTCCACTGTGTTGTTTCCTGCATATGCTCCCAGTGTCCCTGGGTTGGTGTGTGTCCCTTCCAGAGCTCTGTCCCATCCTCACATCCATTTATTTGGTGCCATGAGCCATGAGCCGTTGAGACAGGTTGGGTGGGAGGGGGTCTCTTCCTATCTGTGCCTGCCCAGGAGGGAGCACACACATGTTTTTGGGGGTAGAGTGGCATGGACATGGTGGATTTGGGTCTCTGTGGTGTCCTTGTGATGCTGTGTTGGTGCAGAGATGCTGCCTTGAGTCGCCAAAGCTTGGTCGCTCGGTGCTGCTCTGCCAGGCTGTTTTATGGGAGATCTGGGGCCATTTGGCCTCAGTGCTCTCTGGTTCTTGCAGATTTTGGGGTGGGTTGGGAGGTGTGAGGAGCATGTGGCTGGCCCCACAGCCCCCTGGGCACCCTCTGATGTGTCTGGCATGGGGTTTGGGTCTTGACCTTTGAGCTGGGTCCATCCCTAACTCAGGACAACCCCGGGCTCTTCCCCCAGCCATGGGCTCTGTCCCTCTCCTCTCTCTGGAGGCTTACGAGGACGGAGGCATCCGGGTGGTGTGTCGATCGGCCGGCTGGTACCCAACACCGGAGATGCTGTGGAAGGATGGCAGTGGACAGCATCTCCCCTCAGTCTCCCTGAGACGTTCCCCGGATGAGAGGGGCCTCTTTGAGATCCAAGATGTCATCATTGTGAGCGGGAAGGGAGATGGGAAGGTGTCGTGCATGGTGAGGAACAGCCGCCTGGAGCAGGAGCAGGCGTCGTCCCTGCACATCTCAGGTGCAGGATGGGAGCAGGGCTGGGGTTGGCCAGGCTGCTTGGGGGTTTTTGCCCTCAGGGGGCTGGAGAAATATGCGGGGGGGAAGGGGAGGGCAGGGGAGGGGAGGGGAAGGGGCTGCACCTGCAGGGGCGTTTTAGTACAGGAGATAATGTGATCCTGGTGTGCTTCAGGGGGGGTTTGGGATGTTCATGGGATGGGACGGAGGATGTCCCCTTGAGTCCAGGGCTCCCACAACAAAGCTTTAGGAGCTGGAACTTTGGAGTTGTTTTGGTTTTCTTTTCTTCTCCTCACAAAGGGGACTGTAAATTGAAGCCTTTTCTGGATATTTTTTTGTTTCTCAGCTCCCTTTTTCCACAATGCCCGTCCCTGGATGGCAGCTCTGGGTGTGCTCCTCGTGCTTTCAGTGGTGTCCGCTGCCCTCAGTGCTTACCTCTTTCGAAGGAAAGGTGAGTTTGCATCACCACAATTTTGCCTTTATTAAGGAAGGTCTTTATTCAAAGGAAGGCTGGGGACAAGGACACAGGGTGTGGGTGGGAGGAGAAGGAGCATGGCCAGAGCATCTGGCTGGTGGGAAGGTCCAAGAGACCCTGGGGAGATGGTCCAAGTGATGAAGCAGCTGCTCTCCTGACCTTCTCTTCTTCTGCCTTTGCTTTCCAGTGGTGCTGTCCAGAGCGCTGGGGGAGTCCTTCCATGATTTTCTGGAGCAGTTCCCACTGCCAGGAAACATCCTTCTCCTTCGAGTCCTCCTGCTCCCTCTCCAGTTTCCCCAGTGTCTTTGGGCCGCAGGGAGGGCAAAGCAACGCCTGCGGGATTCATCAGGCATTGTTCATACCAAGCTGGCCTCTTGCCATGCCCCTAAATTAACATGGGTGTAATCTCTGTCTCCCTGTGTCCTTCTCCATCACCCAGCGGAGTTCAGAGTGGTGGGACCAGGCCGACCTCTCCTTGCCACCATGGGGCAGGACGTCGTGCTGCCGTGTCACTTGTCCCCAGAGGTGGACGCTCAGAGGTTGGAGATCAGGTGGATCCGGTACCTGGTCTCTGAAACGGTGCACCCCTACCAACACGGAGCAGACCAGTATGATGAGCAGATGGAGGAATACATTGGAAGGACAGAGTTGGCCAGAGATGGTCTCTCCCGTGGGAGCCTGGACTTGCGAATCTCTGGGTTGAGACCCTCTGATGATGGCCAGTACGTCTGCACTGTGCAAGATGCTGCCTCTTATGGAGAAGCTGTGGTGCAGCTGAAGGTGGCAGGTTTGTGTCCACTGTGGTCTTTCCTGCATATGGTGCAGGTGTCCCTGGATTGGTGTGTCCCTTCCAGAGCTCTGTCCCATCCTCACATCCATTTATTTGGTGCCATGAGCCATGAGCCGTTGAGACAGGTTGGGTGGGAGGGGGTCTCTTCCTATCTGTGCCTGCCCAGGAGGGAGCACACACATGTTTTTGGGGGTAGAGTGGCATGGACATGGTGGATTTGGGTCTCTGTGGTGTCCTTGTGATGCTGTGTTGGTGCAGAGATGCTGCCTTGAGTCGCCAAAGCTTGGTCGCTCGGTGCTGCTCTGCCAGGCTGTTTTATGGGAGATCTGGGGCCATTTGGCCTCAGTGCTCTCTGGTTCTTGCAGATTTTGGGGTGGGTTGGGAGGTGTGAGGAGCATGTGGCTGGCCCCACAGCCCCCTGGGCACCCTCTGATGTGTCTGGCATGGGGTTTGGGTCTTGACCTTTGAGCTGGGTCCATCCCTAACTCAGGACAACCCCGGGCTCTTCCCCCAGCCATGGGCTCTGTCCCTCTCCTCTCTCTGGAGGCTTACGAGGACGGAGGCATCCGGGTGGTGTGTCGATCGGCCGGCTGGTACCCAACACCGGAGATGCTGTGGAAGGATGGCAGTGGACAGCATCTCCCCTCAGTCTCCCTGAGACGTTCCCCGGATGAGAGGGGCCTCTTTGAGATCCAAGATGTCATCATTGTGAGCGGGAAGGGAGATGGGAAGGTGTCGTGCATGGTGAGGAACAGCCGCCTGGAGCAGGAGCAGGCGTCGTCCCTGCACATCTCAGGTGCAGGATGGGAGCAGGGCTGGGGTTGGCCAGGCTGCTTGGGGGTTTTTGCCCTCAGGGGGCTGGAGAAATATGCGGGGGGGAAGGGGAGGGCAGGGGAGGGGAGGGGAAGGGGCTGCACCTGCAGGTGCGTTTTAGTACAGGAGATAATGTGATCCTGGTGTGCTTCAGGGGGGGTTTGGGATGTTCATGGGATGGGACGGAGGATGTCCCCTTGAGTCCAGGGCTCCCACAACAAAGCTTTAGGAGCTGGAACTTTGGAGTTGTTTTGGTTTTCTTTTCTTCTCCTCACAAAGGGGACTGTAAATTGAAGCCTTTTCTGGATATTTTTTTGTTTCTCAGCTCCCTTTTTCCACAATGCCCGTCCCTGGATGGCAGCTCTGGGTGTGCTCCTCGTGCTTTCAGTGGTGTCCGCTGCCCTCAGTGCTTACCTCTTTCGAAGGAAAGGTGAGTTTGCATCACCACAATGTTTTGCCTTTATTCAAAGGAAGGCTGGGGACAAGGACACAGGGTGTGGGTGGGAGGAGAGGGAGCATGGGCAGAACATCTGGTGGTGGGAAGGTCCAAGAGACCCTGGGGAGATGGTCCAAGTGATGAAGCAGCTGCTCTCCTGACCTCCTCTTCTTCTGCCTTTGCTTTCCAGTGGTGCTGTCCCGAGTGCTGGGTGAGTCCTTCTGGCCCCTGACAACAGCAAAGCTGGTGGAGCCCCCAGGGAGGGACGTGGCTTTGGGTGGCTCTTGATGTTTCTCTGGTTGCTGATGTGGGTTGATGGAGCCCAGAAGGGGACTGGAGAGCACTGGTGCTGGGAACTGGGCACGGGAGATGTTCTGGCTCCTGAGAATAAATGGGGAGTGGTATTGAGTGATCTTAAATCAGGCTGAGCCTTAAATCTCTGCTTAAGTCAGGTGTAATTTCTGAGAGCCTGGCTGGGCTGGGGTGGGGATAGGAGGGCAGAGAACACCCTTTTGGAAAAAGGGGACTTCTCCAATTCCCAAAAAAGAAGGAGTTTGGACTCAGCCAAGGGGTGAGAAGCTGTCCCCTCTCATTACTCATTGATTTTGTTTTTTCCTTTTCAGGGAAACGAGGTGCAGAACTGGGTGAGTCTCCGTGAGCTCTTCCTGTCTCCTGTCCTCTTCTGGGTGGTCTGTGCTTGGACGCTTCCCCGCTTGCCCGTCCCCTCCATCCCTAAGTCCCCTGGGGCCAGGGGAAACATCTGCAGGGATGTGCTTGCGGGGTGGGAAGCTCAGGGCCACCAGGGAAGGGCTGGGCCCTCTCCCTCGCCAAGAGTACCTGGGGACAATCCGAAGGGCATGACCAGGCTGGAGGGAGCCATCCCTGGGACCCAGGGAATGTTTTCCCACTCCCCAAAAAGGAGAAGTTTGAGGTTTCCCCAGCTCTGCTTACTCCATCTTGAGCACGTTTGGGATGAGAATCTGTTCTCTCTGATCAAATATTCCTTTTACTTTCCAGAGGAACAAAGTGCACTCTTGGGTGAGTCTACATGAGCTCCTCGTGGCTTGATGTCCTCTCCTGGGCCCCCTCTGCTCGACCCTCTCTCTCCTTGCCCATTTTCTCCATCACTGCATCCCCTGGGACTGGTAAACCCTGAGGGCATGTGCCTGTGGTGGGTGGGCAGCTCGGGGACACCAAAGCAGGGGTGCACCCTATCCAATGTCCAGAGTCCCTGGGGACCAGCTGCGGCACTTGACCAGGCTGGAGGGAGCCATTCACAGGCTTTGGGGGTCGCTTCCCAATCCCCAGACAGAAGGATGTTGGGATCTGCCCGAGCTCTGCCCACTCCAATAGGAGCAGCGATGGGGAGAGAAGCTGTCCCCTGTCATCACTCATTGCTCCTGTTTTTCCTTTCCAGAGCAACGAGATGCAGCACTGAGTGAGTCTCTGTGAGCTGCTCCTGGCTCCGTGTCTTCTCCTGGGTGCTCTGGGCTTGGTCCCTTCCCCTCTTGCCCGTCCCCTCCATCCCTGCATCCTCTGGGTCTACACAAACCTCGATGGGATGTGCCTGGGGATGTGGGCAGCCTGGGGACACCAGAGCAGGGATGGACCCTCTCCCACGTCCAGACCTGCTGGCCACCAGCCATGGGACGTGAGCAGGCTGGAGGGAGCCATTCACAGGGTTTGGGGCTCCTTTCCCACATCCCAAAAAGGAGGAGTTTGGGAGCTGCCCACGCCTGTGGTTGCAGGCGTGCGATAGGAAGATGTTCTCTCTGATCACTCATTGCTTCTGTTTTTCCTTTCCAGAGCAACGAGATGCAGCACTGGGTGAGTGTCCGTGAGCTCCTTCTGGCTCTCTACCGGGGTTCTGTAAAGGGGGCTCTGTGCTCGGTCCCTTTCCCCCTTGCCTGTCCCCTTTGTCCCTGCATCCCCTGGGGCCTGGGGAAACCCTGAGGGTACGTGCCTGAGCGGGTGGGCAACCTGGGGACACCAGAGAAGGGATGGACCCTCTCCCATGCCCAGAGTCCCTGGGGACCAGCCGTTGGGCATGACCAGGCTGGAGGGAGCCATCCCTGGGACACAGGGAATGTTTTCCCACTCCCCAAAAAAGGAGAAATTTGGGGGTTTCCCCAGCTCTGCTTACTCAATCTTGAGCACTTTTTGGATGAGAAGCTGTTCTCTCTGACCAAGTATTCCTTTTGCTTTCCAGGGGAACAAGCTGCACTTTTGGGTGAGTCTCCATGAAATCCTCATGGCTTGATGTTTTCTCCTGGGCCCCCTTTGCTCGATCCTCTCCCTCCTTGCCCATTTTCTCCATCGCTGCATCCCTTGGGTCTGGGTAAAACCTGAGGGCATGTGCCAGTGGTGGGTGGGCAGCTCGGGGACACCAGAACAGGGGGGCACCCCTCCCATGTCCAGAATCCCAGGGGACCAACCGTGGCACTTGACCAGGCTGAAGGGAGCTGTTCACAGGCTTTGGGGGTCGCTTCCCAATCCCCAGACAGAAGGATGTTGGGATCTGCCCGAGCTCTGCCCACTCCAATAGGAGCAGTGATGGGGAGAAAATCTGTCCCCTGTCATCACTCATTTCTCCTGTTTTTCCTTTCCAGAAGAACAAGATGCAGCACTGAGTGAGTGTCCGTGAGCTCCTTCTGGCTCTCTACCGGGGTTCTGTAACGGGGGCTCTGTGCTCGGTCCCTTTCCCCCTTGCCTGTCCCCGTTGTCCCTGCATCTCCTGGGGCCTGGGGGAATCCTGAAGGTCCGTGCCTGAGCAGGTGGGCAACCTGGGGACACCAGAGAAGGGATGGACCCTCTCCCATGCCCAGAGTCCCTGGGAGCCAGCCGTTGGGCATGACCAGGCTGGAGGGAGCCATCCCTGGGACACAGGGAATGTTTTCCCACTCCCCAAAAAAGGAGAAGTTTGGGGGTTTCCCCAGCTCTGCTTACTCCATCTTGAGCACTTCTGGGATGAGAAGCTGTTCTCTCTGACCAAGTATTCCTTTTGCTTTCCAGGGCAACAAGCTGCACTTTTGGGTGAGTCTCCTTGAGCTCCTCATGGCTTGATGTCCTCTCCTGGGCCCCCTCTGCTCGATCCTCTCCCTCCTTGCCCATTTTCTCCATCGCTGCATCCCTTTCGTCTGGGTAAAACCCGTGGGCATGTGCCAGTGGCAGGTGGGTAGCTCGGGGACACCAGAACAGGGGTGCACCCCCTCCCATGTCCAGAGTCCTTGGCGACCAGCCGCGGCACTTGACCAGGCTGAAGGGAGACATTCACAGGCTTTGGGGGTCGCTTCCCAATCCACAGACAGAAGGATGTTGGGATCCGCCCGAGCTCTGCCCACTCCAATAGGAACAGCTATGGGGTGAGAAGCTGTCCCCTCTCATCACTCATTGCTCCTGTTTTTCCTTTCCAGAGCAACGAGATGCAGCACTGAGTGAGTCTCTGTGAGCTGCTCCTGGCTCCGTGTCTTCTCCTGGGTGCTCTGGGCTTGGTCCCTTCCCCTCTTGCCCGTCCCCTCCATCCCTGCATCCTCTGGGTCTACACAAACCTCGATGGGATGTGCCTGGGGATGTGGGCAGCTTGGGGACACCAGAGCAGGGATGGACCCTCTCCCACGTCCAGACCTGCTGGCCACCAGCCATGGGACGTGAGCAGGCTGGAGGGAGCCATTCACAGGGTTTGGGGCTCCTTTCCCACATCCCAAAAAGGAGGAGTTTGGGAGCTGCCCACGCCTGTGGTTGCAGGCGTGCGATAGGAAGATGTTCTCTCTGATCACTCATTGCTTCTGTTTTTCCTTTCCAGAGCAACGAGATGCAGCACTGGGTGAGTGTCCGTGAGCTCCTTCTGGCTCTCTACGGGGGTTCTGTAAAGGGGGCTCTGTGCTCGGTCCCTTTCCCCCTTGCCTGTCCCCGTTGTCCCTGCATCCCCTGGGGCCTGGGGAAACCCTGAGGGTACGTGCCTGAGCGGGTGGGCAACCTGGGGATACCAGAGAAGGGATGGACCCTCTCCCATGCCCAGGGTCCCTGGGGACCAGCCGTAGGGTGTAACCAGGCTGGAGGGAGCCATCCCTGGGACACATGGAGTGTTTTCCCACTCCCCAAAAAAGGAGAAGTTTGGGGGTTTCCCCAGCTCTGCTTACTCCATCTTGAGCACTTTTTGGATGAGGAGCTGTTCTCTCTGACCAAGTATTCCTTTTGCTTTCCAGGGCAACAAGCTGCACTTTTGGGTGAGTCTCCATGAAATCCTCTTGGCTTGAGGTTTTCTCCTGGGCCCCCTCTGCTCGATCCTCTCCCTCCTTGCCCATTTTCTCCATCGCTGCATCCCTTGGGTCTGGGTAAAACCTGAGGGCATGTGCCAGTGGTGGGTGGGCAGCTCGGGGACACCAGAACAGGGGTACACCCCCTCCCATGTCCAGAGTCCCTGGGGACCTACCGCGGCACTTGACCAGGCTGAAGGGAGCCGTTCACAGACTTTGGGGGTCAGTTCCCAATCTCCAGACAGAAGGAAGCTGGGATCTGCCCGAGCTCTGCCCACTCCAATAGGAGCAGCCATGGGGTGAGAAGCTGTCCCCTCTCATCACTCATTGCTCCTGTTTTTCCTTTCCAGAGCAACGAGATGCAGCACTGAGTGAGTCTCCGTGAGCTGCTCCTGGCTCCGTGTCTTCTCCTGGGTGCTCTGGGCTTGGTCCCTTCCCCTCTTGCCCGTCCCCTCCATCCCTGCATCCTCTGGGTCTACACAAACCTCGAGGGGATGTGCCTGGGGATGTGGGCATCCTGGGGACACCAGAGCAGGGATGGACCCTCTCCCACGTCCAGACCTGCTGGCCACCAGCCATGGGAATTGAGCTGGCTGGAGGGAGCCATTCACAGGGTTTTGGGGTGCTTTCCCACATCCCAAAAAGGAGGAGTTTGGGATCTGCCCATTCCTGTGGTTGCAGGCGTGCGATAAGAAGATGTTCACTCTGATTACTCATTGCTTCTGTTTTTCCTTTGCAGGGAATCGAGAAGCAAAATTGGGTTAGTCGTGATGATCTCCTCCTGGCTTGGTGTCCTCTCCCGGGTTCTGTGTGATCAACCCTTCCCCACCTTGCCCGTCCTCTCCATCCCTGCATCCCCTGGGTGTGGGTAAACCCCAAGGGGATGTTCTTGGTGGGGTGGCCAGCTGGGGGACATGAGATCTGGAATGGACCCTCTCTCCTACCCAGACCTGATGGACACCAGCCATAGGATGTGACCAGGTTAAAGGGAGCCATTCACAGGCTTTGAGGGTCTGTTCCCAGTCCCCAGAGAGAAGGAGTTTGGGATCTGCCCAGGCTCTACCCACTTCAACAGGAGCAGCTAGTGGATGAGAAGCTGTCCCCACTCATCACTTATTGTTTTGTTTTTTTTCCTCTGTAAACCAACGAGATGTAGCACTGAGTGAGTCACCGTGAGGTCCTCTTGGCTTGGTGTCTTCTTCTGAGTGCTCTGGGTTCGACCCCTTGCCCTCTTGCCTGTCCTATCCACCCCTGGATCCCCTGTGTCCAGCGAAACCACGAGGGGAGATTACTGGGGGGGGTGGGCAACTTCGGGGACAGCAGAGCAGGGGTGGACCATCTCCCCTCACCAGAATCCCTGGGGACCAGTTGTGGCACTTGACCAGGCTGGAGGGAGCCATTCACAGGTTTGGGGCTCTGTTCCCACTCCCCAAACAGAATGAGTTCGGGCTCTGCCCAAGCTCTGCCCACCGCTGCAGGAGCTTCCATGGGGTGAGAATCTGTCCCTTCTTGTCACTCATTGCTTCTGTTTCTCCTTTCTAGAGCAACGACCTGCAGCACCGGGTAAGTCTCTGTGAGCTTCCCCTGCCTTGGTGTTCTATCATGGGTGCTCTGTGGCCAACACTTTCCGCCCTTGCCCATCTTCTCCCTCCATACATTCCCTGGGTCCAGGCAAACCCTGAGGGGTAGTGCCTGGGGCGGTGGGCAGACTGGGGACACTAGCCCAGGAATGGACCACCTCCCCTCAGATTTGCTGGGGAACAACCATGGGATGTGACCTGATCTTCTCTTTCCGTAGAGCGGAGAAATTTTCTGCATCCTCAGAATTGAGGGAAGAGGGTATTTAATGTTATTTGATGTTTTTTTATGGGGAGTTCTCCTCCTTTTCCCTGTTTGGGAGGTGTACCTGGGCTGGCCAGTGAAGAGAGTTTTAAACTAAAAGAGGAGAGATTTAGATGAGAAGAAAGTCTTTGCTGTGAGGGCATGAGACTCTGGCCCAGGTTTGCCAGAGAAGCTGTGGCTGCCCCATCCCTGGAAGGGTTCAAGGCCAGGTTGGAGGGGGCTGGAGTAACCTGGTCTGCTGGGAGGTGTTTGTGCCCATGGCAGGGTGTGGCACTGGATGGTCTTTAAGGTCCCTTCCAAGCCAAACCATGATTCTATGACTGAGCTCTGTCCCTGATGCTCTGGCTTCTCCTGTCCCCTGCAGGCATGGGGAACCTGGGTCCAAACATGTCTGATCCTGAACCTCGGATGAAGTCTATGAAACATGCAAGAAGGGAAAGGATACAGAAGAACCTGCCTTACCACAAGAAATTTAGTTCTAATTACTGATTGCTGGGCTGGGAGGGGTGCTGGAATGGGAGGCACTGCTGGAAGGTGGAGGGGGAGGTGGGAGGTGATTCGCGGTGGGCTGTTGGGTTGGCCACAGAGTTTCTGGAGCGGAAGGGGTCTCTGAACCCAAAGCCTGAGGAGAGATCTGTGCTGTTAGGCACAGGAAAGGCCAGTTCATGGCTCCCACCTCTACTCCCATCCCCCTGTCCCAGTCCGTGCTCCCCAGGAAGATTTGGGTCTTACTGGAGTGGGCTTGGGGGCTGGTGACTTTTCCTCAATACCGACACTGGGATCGAGATCTTCACTTTCCCACCAGCCTCGTTCCACAGGGAGACCCTGCACCCCTGGTTTTGAGTGGAGACAAGGAAAACCCAGCTGTGCCTCAGCGACAGCACCTCCTACATGTTCTCCTCCCCTTCCACCGTCTCAGTAGCCTCCAGCAACCCCGGCCCTTCTCCAGAGACTCCTCGCTCTTCTCTCCTGGATCCTGCAGGAGATGTGCCTCTCTTTGCCCCAGCCGTAGGAGAAGATGGGGAGTGAGGGGCAGGCACATGGGCTGCTGTGGGGTCTCTGAGCAGCCGGGGGTGTCCTCATTTCAGCTTGGATGGAGTTATTTTTCTTTCTAGTAACTGCTGATGTTTGGATTTAGTGTGAGAATGCCATTGGTCACAAATATATTTATACGTGGCTGAGAAATGTTCACTTCAGTCCAGAACTTTTCCAGCTTTCCCTCGCAGCTGAGAGGGAGCACGGCCAGGATGAGGCATCCAAAGGGATATTCCACCCCACAGACATCCTGCTCGGGACAGAGACAGAGGCTGCCGGGGGCCTGGGACCCTCCCGCTGTGCTGGGGATGGGCTGGGGAATCAGTCCTCAGGTGCTGAGGGCAAATGCTCTTGTATCCCTTTATTTTGTATATTTTGTTACAATTAAGAAAGATATTTTCCTCTGCCGTAACCGTTGTCTTAAACTGTCTTTATTCCAACCCACGAGGTGTTTTCCCCAGCTTTTATCCCTCTTCTCCCCACCCCACTGGGGAATAGGGAGGGAGGGAGGGAGCTTCTGGCTGGGGCTAAGCCACACCGGGCAGCCAGGAAACTCTTGGATCCCCTTTGATCCTCTTGGAACACCTTGAATCTCCCTTGAACCCCTTGGGTGCCCCTCAGAACCCCCTGAATCCCCTCAGATCCCCTAGAACCTCTTGGATCCCCTCGGTACCACTCCGAACATCCCTTGGAACTCCTTGAGCCCCTTAGATCCCCTCTTATTCCCTTGCAACTCCTTCAACACCCCAGAAACCCCTCTTGTACACCCCTAGAGCCCCCTGGAACCTCTTGAAACCCCTTGGATCCCCTGGGCTCTGCCCAGCATGTACTCGCCATGAGCATCCTCCTGCACCACATGACCCTTTTCTGAAGAAAACTGCTTTGTCTCTACCCAATTCCCTTCCCAGTTGGGTGCTGGGTGAAGGTGGCTGCATTGTTTTTGCTTCTTTGGGAGATTGTGGGGTCTGTGCATGGAAGCATCTTTGTTCTGGAGTGCCTTCAGGTGCAGCGGAAGAGGAAACTTACGGAGGTGGAAGGAATTTCCCATCCTGGGGCTATTTTAGATGGATTTATTACAATGGTGAATTGCTGCTGCTGCTGGTCTGGAGCTGGGAGCTGAACTGGGGCGGAGCACCAGGGGGTGGGATCTGCTGGGAATGGGATGTTGGGGATACTCAGGGCAGGGAACAGGACCTCCCTGCTCCTCTGACCTTGTTGAGAATAGTTGGGTGCTCCTTGCTCATCTTCAGCCCCTCCTGCTCCTCCTGGACCCCCCTGGGGTTGGATACGGGTTCCTGGACCCCCTTTGGGTTTGAGAGAAGCTCATTCCTTGTCCACATCCCCAGGTGTGGGTACAATCCCCAGGACCCCCAGACCTGGGTATTCCCCCCACCCCAGAAACTCCATAACCACCGCTGCTATGGGTACAGCCCATTGTCCCCCCCGTACCCCTTCTTTTGGGTATGAATGTGGATGGGACTTTGGGGACAGCAGGGGACACGTCCTCCCCAGGAATCTGAAGCCCCCAAGTTGGCAGGGCAGAGGGACAGGGCACAGCTGGGGTGTCTCGACATTCAAAGCCCCCCAAACCCTTCTTGTCCCCTCGTCCCTGGCTCCCCACAAGCTCCCGGCTGTTGTGGGGCTGCAGGGACACTGCTGGGCTCCTCCGCCGTGTCCAAAAATCTAAACCAAGCTCTAATCACATCATTGTCACCCCCAAATGCCGGTCTTTTTACTTCCTCAGTTCTATTCCTACCAGAAACCCAGAAGAAGGGATTTGGGGTAAATTTCAGTTTAGGCTGAACTGGCCCATACTGGTGACAGATGCTCTCCCTCCACCGCTCACTCCCAGGGGAGGAGGAGGCAAGAGAAAGAGATTCATGAGTTGAGCAGGAATTAAACTACTTTAATGGAATATTAAAAATAAGAGAGAAAGGAAAATAATGAAATAAATACAATCTATACAAAACCATATCAAGCTCCCAGGATGACATCACTGGCATGGAATTGGGGATGTCCCAGACTGAACTCAGTGATGGGTGGGGTCTGGATTCCAGCTCTGGGGTCAGGAAGGCACGGACTGGGATGAAAGGCAGATGAACAGACAGGGTCCTCCTTGGATGCCGGCCACTGGAGAAAGAGCTGACTCTTTGATCCCTTGGCTTTTATAGTGAGTGTGGGGCAGATGGGATGGAGCACCCCCTGGGTCAGTTTGGGGTCCCCCCATTCTGTCCCCCCCTTCCCCGGCTGAGGCCAAGCTGAGAAGTGGAATTACTAAATGGAAAGTTGGTTCTGTTTTACCTCAAACTGGGACAGGGGCTCACCCTGGTCCCCCTCCCCACATCTGGATATGACCCCAGGGATCCCCCTGGAGCTGGGTAGGACTGCCCCGGTACCCAGCCCCACCCAGTATGGAAACAGGCCCACCCTACCCATCCTGCACTCCTTATTTTGGGCATGGGCTCCCCATGCATAAGGTGAGATATTGGGGACAGCAGGGAACATGGCCTCCCCAGGGATGGGAGGTCCCCAAGGTGACAGGGCACAGCTGGGGTGTCCCCACACTCAAGCAGAATCCCATCTTTTTCCCTTGTCCTAGCTCCCCACAAGCTCTCAGCTGTTGTGGTGCTGCAGGGACACTGCTGGGCTCCTCCGCCATGTCCACAAATCACAATGAGGCTCTCAGCTCCACATGATCCCTCCCCAAAAATCCTTATTGTCCTTCATTTTCCATTGTTTTTCTCCTTGTTTTGGTTCCTGGGATCAATGGGCTGCCGAGTTTTTCTCCCAAATAGAAATGTCCTGAAACACCAATAAAAACCCCCAAGAGATGGATGGAGCAGAACCGGCGCAGGTGGATGATTCATCATGGCCTGGTTAAAACTTTGCTCCTTCCTTTGCAACAATGGCCTTATACAGAAAAATCAGGCGTTTCTGGGGAAAAAACCCTAGCTATTTATGGGTGCAAAACCTCACTGATGTCTCTGCTCCAGCACAGGTTGCTGGGAGAGGCGCAGACCTGCGAAACACCACCGCCACCACCTCCCATCCAGGAACGGGGAGGGTGAAGGCTTCGCATCGGTGCTTTGCCACTGGCAGGTTATTAAATGACCCTGGCCTTGTTGATGTGGCTCAGTTCTGGATGAGGAACCTGAGCTCACAATGAGGGAGGTGGAGCCTTAAACTGTTTCCCGGAATTCTGGACCCTGGAAACGGGCAAGGTTGGAGATGTTAGGTGCAGCTCCCAGATCTCGGGTAAGTGAATTTCCTTTCAACAAGGGATTTAGAATATTTAACTAATTTGAAGTCTTTGGAAGGGATTTTGAGTAAATCCTGGGGAGGGCATAGGGGCAGAGCAGAGGCTACACTGAGAGCCGCGTGTGGATCCTGTCCGTCCCTTGACCAAGGGCTCCTTCCAACGTCAGAGTGCAGGTGGCTTGGTGGGATTTCTGCATTGGGGGCAGGTGCAGACCTTCTTCCCCATCCCCTCTGCAGCAGCTGTAACCCCCCTTTGCCTCCCTCTGCCTCCCTTCCCACCCTCTTCTCCAGCTCCGACCACAGGTGGGGTTCCCCACGAGCCCATGGGGCCTCCTCAGACATTTCCTGACTCTCCACCTCCTCCGGCTGGGATCAGGTAGGGATTCTGCAGGGCTGGGGGGGCTGAGCGTGCTCTGGGTGGCCGATGTGGGACAGGGGAGGTGTTGTGGGGCAGGAGGAACTGAGAGCAGACATCAGCTGCACGTTGCTTTCACTTTCCTTTGGTCTGGTGATGCCACACATCCATTGTCCTGGGACACCTTCAGTTCTGCCCCGAGGTGTTCCCCCAAAGCCTTTGTCCCTTCTGGCAGGGCTGCCTGGGGTGGGGAGGGGGCCATTTTTAGGGTGGGATTCGTGATTTTCTGGAGCAGTTCCCACCCCCAAGGATACCTCTTTCTTCTCCTTCGAGTCCTGCTGCTCCCTCTCCAGTTTCTCCAGGGACTTTGGGCCATGGGGAGGGCAAAGCAACACTCATGGGATGGAGAGGACACCGCTCATGCCTAGCTGGCCCCTTGCCATGTGATGCCTGTAAATTAATGTGGGCGCAATCTCCATCTCTCTGTGTCTCTATCACCAAGCGGAATTCAGAGTGGTAGGACCAGGCCAACCTCTCCTTGCCACCGTGGGACAGGACGTCGTGCTGCCGTGTCACTTGTTCCCAGGCATGGACGCTCGGAGCTTGGAGATCAGGTGGATCCGGCACCAGGTCTCTGAAACAGTGCACCTCTACCGAAACGGAGCAGACCAGCACTGGGATCAGATGGAGGAATACGCTGGAAGGACAGAGTTGGCCAGAGATGGTCTGTCCAGTGGGAGCCTGGACTTGCGGATCTCTGGGTTGAGACCCTCTGATGATGGCCAGTACGTCTGCACTGTGCAAGATGCTGCCTCTTATGGAGAAGCTGTAGTGGAACTGAAGGTGGCAGGTTTGTGGCCACTGTGTTGTTTCATGAGGATAGTGCAGGTGTCCCTGGGTTGGTGTGTGTCCCTCCCAGAGCTCTGTCCCATCCTCACGTCCATCCATTTGGTGCTGAAGCACAAGAGCCGTTGACAGTGGTCAGATGCGATGGGTTTCTTCCCATCTGTGCATGCCCAGGAGGGACCATGCACATGGTGCTGGAGGTGTTTTTGGGGCCAGAGCAGCACGGATGTTGTGACCTTGGGTCTCTGTGGTGTCCTTGTGGTGCTGTGTTGGTGCAGAGATGCTGCCTTGAGGTACCAAAGCTCGGCCACTCGGTGCTGCTCTGCCAGGCTGTTTATGGGGAGATCTGGGCCATTTGACATCAGTGCTCTCTGGTTCCTGCAGATTTTGGGGGTGGGTTTGGTGGTGTGAAGAGCACGTGGCCAGCCCCACACCCCCCTGGGCACCCTGGGATGTGTCTGGCATGCAGTTTGGTCTTGGCCTTTGAGCTGGGTCCATCCCTAACTTAGGGCAACCCTGCGTTCTTCCCCCAGCCATGGGCTCTGTCCCTCTCCTCTCTCTGGAGGCGTACGAGGATGGAGGCATCCGGGTGGTGTGTCGATCGGCCGGCTGGTACCCGTCACCACAGGTGCTGTGGAAGGATGCCGGTGGGCAGCATCTCCCCTCGGTCTCCCAGGGACGTTCCCCAGACGCAAGAGGCCTCTTTGAGATTAGGGCAACCCTGCGTTCTTCCCCCAGCCATGGGCTCTGTCCCTCTCCTCTCTCTGGAGGCGTACGAGGATGGAGGCATCCGGGTGGTGTGTCGATCGGCCGGCTGGTACCCGTCACCACAGGTGCTGTGGAAGGATGCCGGTGGGCAGCATCTCCCCTCGGTCTCCCAGGGACGTTCCCCAGACGCAAGAGGCCTCTTTGAGATCCAAGATGTCATCGTTGTGAGCGGGAAGGGAGATGTGAACGTGTCATGCGTGGTGAGGAACAGTCGTCTGGTGCGGGAGCAGGTGTCGTCCCTGCACATCTCAGGTGCAGCAGGGCTGAGGATGGCCAGACTGCATGGTGGGGTTTGATCTTGGGGGGCTGGAGCAACATGCGGGGAAAAGTGTGTGTGGGGGGTGCACCCACAGGTGAGTTTTATCACAGGAGATAACGTGTGGGTGTTGTTTATCTGGACGCTTCTTGTTTGTAGTGCGGGTGTCTATTTTTGTCAGTTAGGTTGACGGTTGGAGAAGATGATCTTTAAGGTCCCTTCCAACCTAGAAGATTCTGTGATTCTGTGATCCTGGTGTGCTTCAGGAGAGCATTGGTATGTCAGTGGGAGGGGGAGGAGGATGTCCACTTGAGACCAGGGGTCCCAGCACAAGGCTTTAGGAGCTGGAACTTTAGGGTTTCCTTTTCTTCTCCTCACACAGGGAGACTGTAAAATGAGTCCTTTTCCTGATTTTTTTTCTTTCTCAGCTCCCTTTTTCCACAATACCCTTCCCTGGATGGCAGCTCTGGGTGTGCTCCTCCTGCTTATAGTGATGCTTTTTGGCGTCATTGCTTATCTCTTCCAAAGGAAAGGTGAGTTTGTAGTGGGGGGGGTCAGTGTGGAGGAAATCTGAGAGCTGGCCCATGGACATATGCAGAACAGGATCAGAGTTGTGTCAGAACGGGGTTTGCCTTCCTTAAAGAAGCTTGTTGGGCAAAGGAAGGCTGGGGACAAGGACGTGGGGTGTGGGTGGGAGGAGAGGGAGCATGGGCAGAGCATCTGGCTGGCGGGAAGGTCCAAGAGACCCTTGTGAGATGGTGCCAGTGAGAATGCAGCTGCTCTCCTGACCTCCTCTTCTTCTGCCTTTGCTTTCCAGTGGTGCTGTCCAGAGCACTGGGTGAGTCCTTCTGGCCCCTGAAACCAGCAAAGCCTCCTGATAAAGGAGCCCCCAGGGAGGGATGCAGCTTTGGATGGGTTTTGATGGTTCTCTGGTCATTGCTGTGGGTTGATGAAGCCCAGAAGGAACTGGAGAGCCCTGGGGTTGGGAATTGGGCATGGGAGGTGTTCTGGCTCATGGGAAGAAACCCTGTGGGGCTGTGCCTAGTGAGGTGAGAAGCTCAAGGACACCAGAGCAGGGCTGGACCCCCTCCCATGTCCAGAGTACCTGGGGACCAGCCATGGGACATGACCAGGCTGGAGGGAGACATTCACAGGCTTTGGGGGTCTGTTCCCAGTTCACAGAGAGAAGGAGTTTGGGATCTGCCCAAGCTTTGCCCACTCCAGTAGGAGCGGTCATGGGGTGAAATGCTGTCCCCTCTCATTACTCATCACTCCTGCTTTCTCTTTCCAGAGAAATGAGATGCAGCACTGAGTGAGTCTCTGTGAGCTCCTCCTGAGTCCATGTTTTCTCCTGGGTGCTCTGGGATTGGCCCCTTCCCCTCTTGCCTGTCCTCTTCATCCCTGCATCCCCTGGGTCTACAGAAACCCCAAGGGGAGGTGCCTGTGGAAGGTGGGCAGCTCAGGGACACCAGAGCATGGCTGGACTCTCTCCCATGCCCAGAGTCCCTGGGGACCAGGCGTGGGACATGACCAGGCTGGAGGGAACCATTCACAGGGTTTGGGGGTATTTTCCCACTCCCCAAAAAGGAGGAGTTTGGGATCTGACCTCTCCTGTGGTTGCAGGTGTAATCAGAAGCTGTCCCCTCTGATCACTTATTGCTTCTGTTTTTTCCTTTAAAGAGCAACAAGCTGCAGCACCGGGTGAGTCTCCATGAGCTCCTTCTAGCACAGTGTCCTCTCCCAGTCTCTCTGTGTTCAACCCCTTCCCCCTTTCCCCATCCCCACCATCTCTGCATCCCCTGGTCCTGGAAAACCCCAAGGAGGGGTGCCTGGGGTGGTGGGCAACTCTGACTCCAGAGAAGGGATGGACCATCTCCCCTGCCCAGAGTCCCTGGGGACCATCCGTAGGGTATGACCAGGATGGAAGGAGCCATCCCTGGGACCCAGGGAGTGTTTTCCCACTCCCCAAAAAGAAGGAATTTGGGGTTTCCCTAGCTCTGCTTTCTCCTTCTTGAGGACTTTCGGGATGAGAAGCTGTTATCTCTGACCAAATGTTCCTTTTACTTTCCAGAGGAGCAAGGTGCACTCTTAGGTGAGTCTCTGTTAGCTCCTCGTGGCTTGATGTCCTCTCCTGGGTCCCCTGTGCTCAGCCCTTTCCCTCATTGCCTGTTTTCTCCATCCCTACATCCCCTGGGTCTGGGTAAACCCCGAGGAGATGTGCCTGTGGCGGGTGGGAAGCTCAGGAACACCAGACAAGGGCTGGACCCTCTCCCATGCCCAGAGTCCCTGGGGACCAGCTGTGGCAATTGACCAGGCTGGAGGAAGCCATGCACAGGCTTTGGGGGTCTGTTCCCAGTCCACAGACAGAAGGAGTTTGGGATCTGCCCAAGCTCTACCCACTCCAATAGGAGCAGCTATTGGATGAGAAGCTGTCCTCACTCATCAGTCATTGCTTCTGTTTTTCCTCTCTAGAGCAATGAGATGCAGCACTGCATGAGTCTCTGTGAGCTCCTCCTGGCTTAGTGCCTTCTCCTGGCTGCTGTGGGCTTGGCTTGTTTCCCTCTTGCCTGTCCTCTCCACCCCTGCATCTGCTTGGTCCAGCAAAACCCCAAGGGAAGCTGACTGTGGGGGTGGGCAGCAACCACGGCGTGAGAAGCTGTCCTCACTCATCATTCCTTGCTTCTGTTTTTCCTTTCCAGAGCAGCGACCTGCAGCACTGAGTGAGTCTCCATGAGCTCTTCCAGGCTCAGTGTCCTCTCCCTGGTGCTCTCTGCTCAGCCCTTTCCTCCCTCTCCCATTCCCTCCATCCCTGCATGCTCCGGGTCTGGGCAAAGTTTGAGGAGATGTGCCTGGGCAGGTGGGCAGCTCAGGGACACCAGAGCAGGTCTGGACCCTCTCCCATGCCCATACCTGTTGGCCATCAACCATGGGAGGTGACCATGCTGGAGGAAGCCATTCACAGGCTTTGGGGGTCTGTTCCCACACCCCAAACAGAAGGAATTTGGGATCTCCCCAAGCTCTTCCCATTCCTACAAGAACAGCCATGGGGTGAGAAGTTGTCCCCTCTCATCACTCATTGCTTCTGTTTTTCCTCTTCAGAGCAACGAGATGCAGCACTGGGTGAGTCTTCCTGGTCTCCTCCTGGCTCAGTGTCCTCTCCTGGTCTCTCTATCCTTGACCATTTCCCTTGTTCCCCATCCTCTCCATCCCTGCATCCCCTTGGTCTGGGAAGACCCCAAAGGGATGTGTATGCTGGGTGGGCAGCTCAGGGACACCAGAGCAGGGCTGGGCCCTCTCCCCTGCCCAGAGCCACTGGGACACCACCAGTTGTGGGATGTGACCTGCTCTTGTCTCTCCTTTTAGAGTGGAGAAAGCTTCTGCTTCCTGAAAATCTAGGTAATTGGGTATTTTATTGTCTTTTTTGTTGTTTTATGGGTTGTTCTTCTCCCTTTTTCTCTGTGCGAGGAGTAACTGGACTGTCCTCTGAAGGGACTGGCCACGCCTGGGTGTGTTTGTGATTCAAGCCCCCCAGTCCATGGCACTGGGATGGATCTCACCCCATTTTCTTGACATTCCACCCTGTTCTGAGTCACACCATGGTGTCCCAGAGGCGCAATCACCCTCCAATGCCACTCTGGTGCCTCCTCCCAAAGGACTGAGCTCAGCCGTGGCTGTGGTGGGGCCTGCCCAATGTTGGGAATGAGAGGAGGAAGGAGATGCCCAGTCTACTGCTCTGTGGAGCACGTCCTGGCCCTGGGGGGCGAAACCTGCTCAGGACTGAGTGCTGATGCTCCGGATCCTCCTGTTCCATGCAGATGTGGTGACCCTGGATCCAAAGACAGCTCACCCTCAGCTTGTCCTGTCAGAGGATTTAAGAAGTGTGAGATGTGGTCCTGAGTGGAAGAACCTGCCCAACATTCCTGAGAGATTTAGTTCTAGGCGTTGTGTGCTGGGCCAGGAGAGGTTCCGGGAGGCAAGGCACTGCTGGGAGGTAGAGGTGGAGGGGGAGGAGGGAGGTGATCCATGGTGGGCTGTTGGGGTGGCCAGAGAGTCTGTGAAGAGGAAGGGGACAGTGTTGCTGAGCCCTGAAGAAGGGATCTGGGCGGTTTGGCACTGTTTAGGTCAGTTTGAGGCTCTCACCTCTCCTCCTATCCCCCTGTCCCATTCCCTCCTCCCCAGGAGGATCTGGGTCTGTTTAGACTGTGCACAGGGGCTGGTGACTTTCCTCAACCCTGACACCAGGGCTGAGATCTTCACTTTCCCACAAACCTTCTTTCACGGGGAGACCCTGCGCCCCTGGTTTTGGGTGGGAACAGAGGAAACCCAGCTGTGCCTGAGGAGCAGCATCCTCTAGACCCTCAGCCCCACTTCCATCCTCACCACAGCCTCCCGCAGACCCTGTCCTTCTCCAGAGACCTACTGCTCCTGGACCCTAAAGGACATGTCCCTCTCTGTCCTGTCCCAGCCCAGGGAGCAGAGAGGGAGTGAGGGGCAGGGGACAGGGGCTGCTGTGGGGTAACTCTGGTGCTGGGAGGCTCCAAGCAGGGGATGTATCCTCATTTCAGCTTCGATGGAGTTAATTTTCTTTCTAGTATTTACTCTTTTTTAGGATTTAGTGTGAGAATGCCATTGGTCACCATGATTATATGCATCGTTTAGAAATGTTCATGTCAGTCCAGGGCTTTTGCAGCTTCCCGTTGCAGCCAAGAGGGAGCACGGCCAGGACAAGACGGCCAACGGGATATTCCACCCCACAGATGTCCTGCTTGGAATAGAAATGGGTGCTCCTGGTGGCCTGGGACCCTCCCTCGCTGCTGGGGACAGGCTGGGCAATCAGTCCTCAGGTGCTGAGGACAAATGCTGTTGTATCACTTTATTTTGTATATATTTTAACAGTTAATAATGACATTTTTCTTTGCCGTAACTGTTGTCTTAAACCATCTTTATTCCAACCCTCGAGGTGTTTTCCTCTCCTTTTCTCCCTCTTCTCCCCACCCTACTAGGGGAGGGGCAGGGAGAGAGGGAGTTTCTGACTGGGGTTAAACCATGTTGGGGTGTCAGGAACCTCTTGGGCCCTCTTGGACCCCCTTGGATCCCTGCCTGGAACTTCTTGGAACCCCCTGGAACCCCTTCACCCGCCTTGGAACCCCTTGATCCCCTTCAACCCTCTGTTATCCCCCTGTCACCCTTGGAATCCTTAAGCCCCTTAGATGTCCTTGGAACCCCTTGAAACACTCTTGAACCCCTTGGGACCTCTTTTACTGCCTTGGATCACCTCACACCCACTTGGAATCCCTTGGAATTTCTTGGATCCCCTTGCAACCCCTTCAACCCTCCTGGAGCCTCCCTTGGAGCCCTTTGAACCCCTGGGATCACTTTGGAACCCCTTGGATCACTTTGGAACCCCTTGGACAACCTTGGACCACATTGGACCCACTTGGAACCTCCTCTCACCCCCTTGCATCCCCTTCAGACCTTTCAGAAGGCCTCAGAACCTCTCTTTGAACCCCTTGGATCCTCTAGGACCCCCTTGCAATGCCTGGATACTCACCATGGGCATCCTCCTACGTCACCTCATCCTTTTGTGAAGAAAACTGCTTTTTCTGTACCCAATTCCCTTCCCAGCTGGGTGCTGGGTGAAGGCAGTTGCAGCTTTTGGCTTATTTTGGGGATTTTTGGCTCCATGCGCAGAAGCATCTTTGTCCCAGACCATCTTTAGTTGCAGCAGAAGAAGAAACTTCTGGATGTGGAAGGAATTTCCCAGCTTGGGGCTATTTTAGATGGATTTATTATAATGTTGAATTACTGCTGCTCCTCTGGGTGACGGGTGGTGGACATCCACTGCGCCATCTGCTTTGTCTCCCATCCTCTAATCCCCACCCAGAGGCTCTCGACTGTGTCATCCCAAACTGTAAGGGCTGTGTGGCCAAATCTTTTCCCTCATGCAAACTCCTGAAGTTTGCCCTCCTTCCCACCACTCCCATCCTGGGTCTCCTTCTACTGACCCAGGACACCATGAGGACTGTGGGAAAGTAACGAAGATTGGCAAGGAGGATTGTAAAGACACTCAAGTGACTCGCACCTGGGGCACTGGAAAACACATCTATCATGATAATTGCTGTTTGGTCTCAAGCCTGTAAGCAGAACAACATCCTCACTGAGATAACTTACGCCTGTGATGGACTCAGGGACACCTTATCTTGCCGCTTGAGGATCCTGCCCTGTTGTTGGAGAAGATCAAAGCACAAGGGGGAGGACTATGCCTGCTGGAACTCTTGAAATACCAGCTAAGCAGGGAGGTAGGCCCCTTTTTGTTTGCACTCCTGCACAGTCTGGCTGCTAAGGACTCCAACTGACAAGGACTCCAACTGACAAGGACTCTTGCTGGCTTTGTGGTCCCTGCATCCCCTGCTTGCGTGTCTCCACCCGGGTTCCACTTCAGAGACTTTCCGAGTTGGGAGGTATCGGAGATTAAACTTGTTCTGTCCTTTATTTGCGGTCTCCTGGTTGTTCCTGCGGCCTGCCTGCATCGACTCACACAATGACCAACGATGATGATTACTAATCACCATAAAACTTTACACAGTGACTGGTTTTGCCTCGTTTCTTTCTACTGAGCCAAAGTCCCCAGGCTTGGTCTCGCCATAATTAGCAGTGGAGTCTTTGCTTCTTGTTGCAGGATGATGGTGAGTTACAGAGTGGCTGCATGGGCCTGGTTGGGGTTAAACCACAACGAGAAGGAGCAGAATGACCGGTGGGAGGGGACATCGGGAATGAGCAGGAGCAGGATGACCGGTACAGGGGACACTGGGAAGAGTTGGGGATGTCTTAGGTGTTGGGGACATCTCGGGGATATTGGGAACATCTCAGGGACACTGTGGCTCCCCACCTGCAGTACCGGCTGTTGGCCGCCGGGCAGCAGCATACCCTTAATTATCCTGCTCTGGGCCCTCATTAGGGTAATGAGTGGTGACCGGTCTCAGCCCCACCTCACTCCAGCCAGGGACCATAACCACTTCCCGGTGGGCAGGGCTTCCAGCTCTCGGCCCTGTCCCCACTCGCAGCCCGGGCAGCGACAGACATCGCCTCGGCACCAAAAACCTGCCCAAAGGGGTTTTTTGCCCCAGAACAAACCCCGGGGATGCTGCATCACTCTGCGTGGGGCACCAGGGCTGAGGGGGTGACAGCAGCGACTCCGCCGGGGACTTATGCACAACAGAAACATTGGGGAATTCTGCTTTTAGAATCATAGTCCCCCATCCCCCACTCACCTGCTTCTCTGACACATCATCGCCCAGTGACACTGGGGTGCCCCAAATGACGTCATCACCCCCCAACTCCTCCCCATCATTTTACTGAGCCCAGAAAAATCACAAAAGGACCAGACCCAGGGCTGTCCCCTTCCCCTCAAGGGGGCTCCACCACCAGCTGCAAACCTGGGCTGGGGCGTCTATCGAGCAGCATGAGACACCAACAACGAGGCACCTGGAAAACACAAATCCCCGAATTATAGTTTAGGATCTTAAAAAAAAAAACAAAAAAAAACAAAAAAACAAAAAAACCCAAAAAAAAACAGCACAGAAGAGAAGAATTCCGTCAGAGTGAGGGACAGGACAGGAGCTGAGCGACAGGAGGATTCTGGGGAAACAGCTCAGCGCAAAATACAGCAAAAGCTGGAGCCATCCCTACGCTTAAAGTCAGAATTCAGACTAATTGATGTGATTTTGAACACGTTCTGAGCGAAACAGCAAACCCTCTGCCCGGTGCTGGGAAACGCCTCGTCCCTTCCCTTGCCCTGAGAAGATGCGTGTTAGATTTATATACAGCCGATTAAATACTTCTACTATAAAAGAATTTGGCTTTCCTCTGGCACTGATTTAAGTTGTGCAGCTGTGAGTCAGCGCCATTAAACGATCCCTCTCCAAAACCCACAGTTATCATTTGACTCGGGGCATGGGGGTGTTTCTGTGCTACCCAATGAGGAGAGACGTGGGGCCAGGGGAGGTGCTGCCGGGGGAACGCACCAGGGAAAGCCAGGCAGAAATAAAGCACTTCAGAGCCCTCCCTCTACATATCAGGGGGAAAAAAGCACCTTAATATTCAGTCACCTCTTTTTTTAAAGTTTTAGAACAAATCCCTGCAGGTGCAATTCAAACAATGCAAGTCAGATACAATTTTAACATGTTGTGTTTTTTTTTTCCCCAAAGTTTTATTTAACATAGAAAAATCAGGGAGGTAAGATATCCTCTTGGGGTACCCAAAAGAACGGGCAGATCAGTGAGTGCTTTTGGCTGCAGTGAACACTCAGAGAACAGGATTTTATGGTCTCTCACCCATTTCAGCTGAGAACCCCAAAACTAGCAATGCCACCAACTGCTGGGAGACCTTTGGAGGGAGATTTTCAGCTCCCCAGGGTAGGGAAAAACGACATTATTGAGGCAGTTACTCCCCAAAACTAACCCAGGACCTGCCATCACGAGTTAAAGGCTGCTGGTGCTTCACAGGAAAGCCTGGCAAAGAGGCAGAAGAGACGCTGGTTTGTCCCAGTTTGTCCATGTCTCTTCTTCAGCAGCTTTGAGGGCAGATGCCAGTGTCTCAGGAAGGTTTTCCAGCACTACTGTAAGGTATTTTTAAAGACTTTTGGACAGAAAAAGCATAAAGCTTTAATCTCAAAAGCAAACTCTGTTCCTTCTGAACACCTGCACTCTAATGAAGAGCTTTTTCCCCTCTTTCAGCACTAATTATTTTCATGGTGTCATTTAACAATAAGCGCACAGAAAGGGAAAATTAAGCTTTCAGAAAGAGAAAATAAAAGTGGGGAGTAAGATTGTGTCTGGGGGTTGCTCCCACACCCAAGGTGCCAGGAGGGAAAACATATTGCTTGTTCTCACTCTCTCTGGGAACCTCTCCTATCACCCCACAAACCTCAGGGCTCTGTGCTTTCCTGGTGACAGAATCCTCAAAACCACCTTTTTTCACCATCCTAACCCAATGGTGCCCTGGTCCCCCAGGAGATGCAGGACAAGGATGCGGGGACCTGCCTGGTGGCAGTGCAAGCCCCAGAGGGGTTGGCTTGGGAGGCATCAACCTGTCCGTGAGCAAAGAGAACCTAGAAAAGGGGCAAAATTAAAAAAAAACCACATCTAGACCCATTTAGAGGGGAGGAGAAGATGGAGGGAAGGGGAGAAGTGGCACTAACGGGAGAGGAAAATGCCAAAACAGGGATAAAAAACAAGTGCTAAATTATGGGATGAGAAAGGGCAAAAAGAAAACCAGGAGAAATGCCTGGGAGGGGGGAAAAAGGAAGCAAATTCCACCCTGGTTTGGTTTTAATGTGGCAGCGGAACAGAAACAACAGAGCAGAGCCTCAGCAGCAGAAGTTTGCCCTGGGCGAGGGGGGAGGGGGGATGTTTTTCAGGGGAAACAAGAGAAGACCAGCAAACTGAAAACCACAAAGGTACAGTGAGCTGCAGCCAGGGACAGGCATTTGAGGGTTGATTTTTTTCATAGCTTTGGGGTTTTTTTTCTGATAAAAAGAGGTGCTGAGCGGCTACATCTTGCAACAGATGCACAGAAAGTGCCAAACCACTGACCCTTTATAGCAACGGGGAGTTTTCAAGGTGCTACAACCCACAAAAGCAAAGTCAAAGACCAGCTGAGCGCACAGCAAGGCGGACCCTGCCACATAGTCCAGTTACGCTACCAAAATCCTTATTTTGTCACCCATTCTTTAACACCTGTCCCCTGACTCGCAGATATGCTGGTGGTGGAGGAGTTGAGCATCCTTGACACCATCTATGTGACTGCTGCCTCCTGGCTCTCACCTTGGGAGAGGTGTGTGATAAAAACCCCCAAATTGGGTCAAATACCATTACTTTTCCCTGCAAAATACTCAGAGATAATTTATTAATTGCTTCCCTCTTCTCCCCCCCCTTTCCCCCAAAGTTTTTCTTCTCCAACCCCCAAAGGCAGAAAAGGGCAGAAGAACAGTGGCAATTAGCACGACTCTGGATGAAGAAGCCAGCGGGGGTGGAGGGAGATATGCAGAGAGCACCCAAACGCCCCAACTTAGGGGTTCGACCCCAAAGCAACCTTAAAAACCGAGCAAGAACACTCAAGATCATTTAAAAAAATATGGATTTTGGAGCTGTTTCTCCCCAGATTATCAGCTGGGTTTCCCATGACTGTCCATGGGGACTCCCGGTGCCTTTATCAATGTGGAGAGTTGTCTCTCGCTGCCTTTTTTCCCCATTTTTTACATTAAAAGGTTCAATGCTTTGAGCCTGAAGCGTGGGGGAAGCTCCCAAAGCATCCCACACTGATTAATCCTAACAATTATACACCAAACAATGGGGAGCCCCAAAAAGGAATCGCCCCAATCTCCCCCCAACCAGCCAAGAAAATAATTCCAATAAAAAATAACCAGATTTCAGAGCTCAGCCTCTGGTAGATCTAAAAGCAAACGTGGGAACAGAGGTTCCAATTTTAAGTCTCTCATTATTGGGACGCTAAAACAAGCGATTCCCTTGGAAGGGAAATTTGATGGTTGTTTTTTCCTTTATGGAAAAGGAGTCCCCTAAATCCTTTTGGATTTTCCACCGTGTCCCTTGGGCTGTGTCCCCACCTCAAGGTTAATTGCTCAAATTCAACACGGAAAATGGGGAAATTGGGGAGAAATCTCTGCTTTTTGGGGAGATTTATCCAAACAAAGGGCTCCTCCAGCTTTCCACTTTCCTGTTTTCAATGGTTCCCAGCAGCAGCCTTCACCCCCAGCTTGAGTTCATTTCCTGGGAATTCGGGGGTTTCTGCAGAAAGCAGAAAAACGTGGGCAGCTGCAGGGAGATATATCACACACACACACACACACACCCCAAAGCATCTAAACCAAGGGCTCAGCCAAGACATCCCCCTCTGAAAGCAAAGTCCTCCTCAGGAAGGGATGTTACATCCCATCCTTTACTTTTTTGGGGAGCATCTCTGGGGTTTTTGTCACCCGCTTTCCCAGAGGAGTATTTTAATGCTGCCTTTTGAGCACTTGCAGGAGCACAAATCCACCTGGATCTCCTGAAAACTCAACTCTTGACAAACTGAATAAGTGATTTTTTTATTTTTTTTTTGTAGCCAAATGCAACAAGTTTTGTGTTTCCTGCTCCATTTTTCTGCTGTCTCTGCTGTGGGGGTGGGAGCAGTGCTAAGACCCAAAGAGCTGCTAAAATACACCCCCAAAATTAACTGATAACTGGAAAGTTGGGGGCACATTCCATTCCTGCTGGTAGGAAACAAAAACAGGTAGAAAAAAAAAAAAAACCAATATATGGATATTAGTCCATGTGAGCGGCAGCACTGCTCTTGGCAACGGGAGGAGGAGGAGGCTGCTCTCCCCAATAGAGGCACCTTTTTTGGCCCAAAGCACCTTTAAAAAAAGCAGCGTTGGTGTCGGAAATGGCTCTTTGTGGGCAGCCGCAGCAGGGTGCAAGAGCAGAGTGAAGCCGGGGAGGGTTTTTACCTGCAACTCCAACGACAAAACCCCACCGTGAGTCTCTGCAGGGAAGAAGAACTCTCTGGTGGCCCCAGATCTAATGCCAGGAGGGCAGGGACCAGCTGTGGCGTTGACCACCATCTATGCTGAGCCAGTTAGGCCACCACGTTCGGGCCCCGGAGGCCACAGGACAGGTCCTGGTAAGTGAATTTACTCAGTGGGTCCTCCTCCTCCTGACCTGGGGGGATTTCTGCGATGGATGGGGGTTTTGGGGGAGCTGATGTCCCTGATGCCACTGGATGCCAGCAAAGCACAGGGAGAAAAGGATTTTTCATCATTTTCCATCTGTTTCCATCCTTTTCCTGAGCTGTCAGTGGCCAAAACCCAACTCTCAGCCCTTGAGAGCACATCTTGAGCCTGGGACAGAGCATGGCACAAGCAGATTTCTTTTGCACAGCCTGATTTTCTTGGAAATTGGGGGGAAAAGAATACAGCCAGCTCCCAAGCACACCCCACCCCTCCATGCAGGACTTCACATGTCTCCCTTTTTTTGCCAAGTGGCTTCTCCCCATCCCTTGGAGCATGCCAAGGCCTTGGCTTTGGGTCCTTTTCCTTCTCCAGGGCAGCACCAAGAGAGGAACAGAGCTCCCAGATCCGAGACTTTGCTTGTCATGGCTTCCCTAGTCAAGCAGGAAATGTGGTTTGTGGGTTTTCTTGGCTCCAGTGACGCTTGAAAGGTTTTCTCACTGAGCAGAGAGACATGGGGGGACTTGTCTGGTGAAAAAAGGGTGTTAAAAAAGGAGGAAAAGCCCACAGAAGAGCTGTTTCCTCCCCTGTTCCCAGTCTGGGTCCCATTACAGGTCCTCGATGGTACTGGGTGCTGCTGGGAGCTGGATGGGTCGGGACGGGGTTCCTGGCAGGGGTCGTGGTGTGGCTGCTGCAGCGATGTGGTGAGTGACGGGGTCCATCATCCAAAATGGGTAAAAATCTCCCCAAACCCATCCAATTTCTGTGATGGAGACAATTTCTCCTGTATTTCTCACAGGGAGCAGCTCCTGAGCAAATTCAGCTCCTGGGAACAGCTGCCCCTAATGGGTGGGAGGGGGAAAAGCTGCCACCACATCCCCCATGGACACTGATTTCTACATTTTTAGAGCCTGTCCTCATACAGGTCCCTCACTCCACCCTGGTCATAAATGGTTTAGGTGGGAAGGCACCTTAAAGACCATCTTGTTCTGCTCCTCCTGCCTCTTCTCCAGGCTGATCTTCTTCTGCTCCTCCTGCCTCTTCTCCAGGCTGAACACCCCCAACTGTCTCAGCCCGTCCTCACGGCAGAGGGGATTCAGCCCTTGGAGCACCTCTGTGGCCTCCTCTGGTCCTGCTCCAACAGGTCCATGTCCTTCTGATGGCCCCAGAGTGGAGCAGAGGGGCAGAATCCACCCCCCCTCACCCTGCTAGGGATGCAGCCCAGGTTGCCGGTGTTTTTTTGGGTACCAGTGCACATTGCCTGCTCATGTTGAGCTTCTCATCCACAAACACCCCCAAGTCCCTCTCCTCTGGGCTGCTCTCCAGCCATTCTCTACCCAGCCTGGATTTGTGCTTGGGATGGAGCTTGAAAGACCCCACAGGTCCCCCCTAAAGACTCCTGTCCCCAGGCAGCACCTTGTTCCATCCCCAAGGGTGATTTGCCCCAGGGTTTCACCCTCTGCTCTCACCACGATGCCATGGGTCAAACCCATCCCCATTTCAGGTGGAAATGGCACCATCCTGAGGCAGGACACAGCCCCGTGCTCCTGGAAAACCTGCCTGCCTGACCCCGGGCCATGGGATGTCCTGGAAATCAAATGCTCCCTCCATTGCTTCCAGCACCAGCTCCGACAGCGACTCTGCCATCTGGGAAACCACTCCACAGCAGGTACCACAGCTCAGCACCACCTTCGGGGGGTGCAGATGGAGCCCTACCACATAGTTAAGGGGTGTGGGAGGGTTGTTGTCCCCTTTTCATATGGGAGAGAGGAGCAACAAGACCAGCAACATTGGGGAAAACACCTCAAAATCCCCCCAATTCTCCCCCCATCCACGTCATCCTCTCCCATGCCCTCACCATCTCCCTACATTGCTCCTCCTGCTTTCTCCCCGCACTGGGGGGGGATCTTTCCAGCCCATCTCCCCCCAGAAATGCACGTGGAGGTGCTCAAAGAGCAGGAAAAGCCCCCAGAGGATGAAGGAGGGCTCACACTCCTCCTCTACCACAGGCCCCAGGGCTTGCCAGCTCTGTCCCATGGGCTGGCAGCCCTTTGCAACCAAGTGCTACTGGGTTTCCACCAAAACCAAAGCCTGGAAGATGGCGGCAGAAAACTGTCAACACAAGGGAGCTCAACTGGTCATACTGGAGAGCCTGGAGGAGAAGGTAAGCAACTGGTGGGGAAAGGCTCCAGCATTCCCCCTGCATTTGGCTTTTTTATTAGTATTTTTTAAACCTTTGCTTTCTACAAAAAGCCCCACAACTCCCATCCTGGGACTGAGCTTTCCTTCCGGGCTTGCAAAGGGCTGCCAGGCAGGATTTTGGGGGAAAAACCCTCAGAAATATGAATTTGGAGGAGATTAAAGATGGGCAAAACCACACTGCCCCACTCATGAACTTCCACCTCCTCTCTCACCCCCAAAAATGCTGTTCATCACCTCCAGACCACAATCCCCCCCTCTTTCACAGCACTCCCTGGCCTCTCCAGTCCCTAGTCTGCAACTGGGATGTGCCAAACTCATCCCAGCTCAGATCTCCCTGGGGCAGAATGAGGCTCTGAGACTCCATCTCTCCTCTCCTCTCCCAGGCTTTCATCGAGGGGATGATGGGAAACGCCTCCGTGGCCTGGACGGGACTGAGGAAACACCAGGGGAGAGAGACCGAGTGGACATGGGAGGATGGGTCCCCTTTACAGAAAGCCTTGTGAGTTCTCTCCCTAGGGGGTTCGCGATAATCACATCCCAGGGGGAATAATTCCCAGCCCCATGCTCACCACAAACCTCGGCCACTCCCCAAAAATCCCTCCAGAACCAGCAGCAACGAATTAAACCACAGCAACATGGGTCTGGTCTCCACTAAACAGGGAGAAGAGAGGAAAAAGCCATTAAACCCTTTATTCTTATTTCACAAAGTGCAAAGGTGGGGAAATTTCAGCCCCTTAAAAACCAACAAAATGGTAATATTTTTCACCACAGTGTAAATAGAAAAAAGCTGTTTCTGGTAAAGAAAGCATTTATTAGACAAATATTATGCACATGTGGGTCTAGGGGAAAAGGGATAAGTTTTGGGGGGCACAGGCTGCCCCAACACTTCCGCTTCCCCGACGAAGAGGGGAAATGGTGGTATATTCCCCGACTTGCAGATGAGCTGACAACAGCTGACCCAATTCAGGGTATTTTTAGGGGGAAAAACACCACAAAGAGATAAATACGTTGGTGGGAAGGCAGCGTCCAAGCGCAGGATTCCAGGCCCATCACCATCACCATGTTTTTAGGTCTCCAGTGCTGGGTCCCAAGGAAGAAAACGCTTGTGGGGCAATCAGAAAGGGTCAGCTGAACTCCCACATCTGCAGCGCCCCCTTCCACTGGATTTGCCAGAGAGAAGCCACCGAGATTTAAGGGCAGACGCAAAGGCCTTGAGGTTTCAACTGGATAAACTCAATGTCAGACAATTCCTCAAGATCACAGAATGGTTTGGGTTGGATGGACCTTAAAGCCCATCCAGTCCCACCCCCTGCCCTGGGAAAGGATACCTCCCACCAGACCAGGTTGCTCCAAGCCCCCTCCAACCTGGCCTTGAACCCCTCCAGGGATGGGGCAGCCACAACTTCTCTGGGCAACCTGGGCCAGGGTCTCACCACCCACACAGCAAAGAATTTCTTCCTGACATCGCTTCTAAATCTCCCTTCTTTCAGCTTAAAACCCTTCCCCCTTGTCCTATGGCTCCCCTCCCTGATCCAGAGTCCCTCCCCAGCTTTCCTGGAACCCCTTTAGGGACTGGAAGGGCCTCTCAGGTCTCCCCGGAGCCTTCTCATCTCCAGGCTGAACTCCCCCAACTCTCTCAGCCTTCTCAGCAGAGGGGTTCTAGTCCTCCCAGCATCTCTGGGGCCTCCTCTGGCCCTGCTCTAACAGCTCCATGTCCTTTCTGTGCTGAGGACTCCAGAGCTGGACACAGGACTCCAGGTGGGGTCTCACAAGAGTGGAGCAGAGGAGCAGAATTGCCCTCATTTCCCTGCTGGCCACACTTCTTTTGATACAGCCCACGTCGCCAGTGGCTTCCTGGGCTGTGAGCATGTTGCTGGCTCAGTTGAGCTTCTCATCCACCAACACCCCCAAGTCCTTCTCCTCAGGGCTGTTCTCCAGCCATTCTCCGCCCAGCCTGGATTTGTGCCTGGAATTGCCCCAACCCACATACAGGACCTTGCACTTGACCTGGTTGAACTTCATGAGGTTTTACACAGTCCCATCTTTCCAAGACCCTCAGGATGGGCCCCATCCCTCCAGCGTGTCACCGCCCCACTCAGCTTGGTGTCATTGGCAAAATTCCTGAGGGTGCCCTCAATCCCACTGTCCATGTCTCCAACAAAGATGGATGAACAACACTGGTCGCTGATGGAGGAACACCACTCATCACTGGCCTCCACTTGGACATGGAGCCGTTGACCGCAACCCTTTGAGTGCCACCATCCAGCCAGTTCCTGATCCACTGTGTGGTCCATCCATCATATCCATGTCTTTCCAGTTTTGAGACCAGGATGTCATGTGGGACATGTGCCAAAACACAGCCCAGAGCAGCTGTTTGCTGGTTGGACACTCACTGCTACCTGAGGGAGGGTTAGTAGCAGCTTGTGGTTGATTTCCTCTGTGGAGGGAGAGGTTTCAAGTGAAATTCTGGATCCTGATGGGGTGCCTTTGCAGTTGGCTGCAGACAGAATATTTCATCTGGGAGCACCAGTCACTGCTGATCCCGTCTGTGTTGACATAAGCACATTGTCCTGTGCCCTGGACATCGAACCTGCCCCAAAACAGCAAAAAATAAACCTCTAAGGGAAGGACATGGGTCGGTGTCAGCCTCAGATCAATATCTGAGCATCTCCCACAGGGTTTAATGCTGCTGGAAGGAGCAGGGACAGCCCATTCCTGCAAGCAACCCCCCCCCCATGGAGAATAAAAACTGCCCCCTGCTCCACAAAAGGGGAATATTTTCAGTTGCTTGGTCCCACGGGGTTCATCCAGGGATGATCTCGACCCCCTGCCAGCACCTGCATCACACAGATCCATGGACTGTGGATTAGCTCAAGGAAAACCAGTGTTTAATTGCTCCCACCTCATTAAATTGATACATATTTATCTTCTCGCATTGAGTTCCTGACCCTCAGCCCAGGAAACGGTTACGCCCTCCAGAAGAAGCTGAGGACGTACATATTATTGTAGAGAGACCCATTAAACCATTTCCAAGGTCCAGAACTTTCCCTCCAGAGGCCAACCCAATAGTGCCAGAAACTCCTGTAGCGCAGGAGGAAACGCTGGAGGGGAATAAAAAAGAAACATCGTTTATATAAACTCCAAATCTCCATCCCTGAAGCCGTGGACTCCCCAGATCCTTGGGGATTTCTCATTTACCAGCTCTTCCCGGGTGTCGATAGTGGCCAAATGGGCTCCGAGAGCAAGGCAAGAGCTTTCGCTCCCGTTCCAATCCGCTTCCTCCTCCACAAAGTAAAAACATTTCTCCCCGAAGCCGATCCCCTTTTCCCGGCAGCTGGGAAGGACGGGAGAGGGGCAGGATGGGCAGGACGGGCATTTTTTAACTGGAAATAAGCAGAACATGTCCCTGATGACTTTACACCAGTGGGTTTTCTCCAGGGGAGGAGAAGATTTGGGTGATGGAGACCCCTCCATCCTCAGCCACTCACTTACCCGCCAGGGCGATGATGATGAGAAGCAACACCACCACCACCAGGGTGACCCCAATGGGGACCTTCTTGTCTTTAAGGCACTTGAGGCTAAAATCTGGGGACAAATGGGCATGGAAGAGGCATGGCCTCTTGAAGACCAGCCCCCAGGCTCTTCTAACCTGGCCCCGTGGTGCCTTCAACACCTTAAAATACAGCCACAAGGTGCTGGGAAGGGGAGCAGGCTCAGTTTTGGGAGGTGCTTTTATCAGCTTCCAAGGAGTTTTAGGGCTCCCCGACCTCACTCCATCCTCTCCATCCCACCCTTAACCACCAGACCCACAGCGTGGGCCTCCTCCCCCCTCACCACAGCCTATTTTAGTTCAATTTTAACTGCCTGATGGACATTAAACCCCACCACGACCTGCAAGAAACTGTCCCCAACACAAAACCGGTACTTACTGGTCCCTTCGTCCACCACTCTCTGCTGTGATGGCAGCATTACTGGGGAGTCTTCACCTGCCCAAAGCAAGAATGAAGGAAATTACTTTTAACACTGTGAGGTTGTTCCATGGGAAAGGAATATTTTCCTCCCAGCGAGCAATGATGCTGGGAGGAATAGAAATATTTGGTCAATTAACATGTGGCTCCATACCTGGTGCCACTGCCATATGTTTGTGTTCTGTGACTATGGATTTGCCTGTACAACACCAGGCCTGTTGACACCTAATGGGAGGTGCCTCTCTCAAAAGGAGAAGGGGGTTCTTACCCAAGAGGTTGTGAGTTTGATTGACAGGGCTTTAAACTAGATGGGAGGGGGGAGGGGGGCGATACCAGGCTTATCTGTGATAAGCTTTGGGGTACCACACCAGGGTTGGAGGGACAGGGTGCTAGTAAGGGCCTTCAGCCTGGCTCCCTGAGCCAAGCTGGTGACCCTTCACTACAGCCAAAGTCTTATGGTGATGTGCCAGCAGCTCCCGGGGTAGAAGCAGTGCACAGAGAAACACCTGAGAGACACTCCAGGGAGTATTCCCCTAAGAAGGCAGCACAGCCAACAGCCCAGCTGAAGTGTCTCTACACTAATGCACCCAGCATGGGCAACAAACAGGAGGAGGTGAAAGCTACTGTGCTGCTGGAAAGATATGACATAGTGGCCATCACTGAAACCTGGAGGAATGAATCCCATGACTGGAGTGTGGCTGTTGAGGGCTACAGGTTGTTCAGAAGAGACAGGCGAGGAAGGAGGGGCGGAGGAGTTGCCCTTTATGTTAAGGAATGGATAGCGAGTGAGGAGATGCCCTTAAAACCCTTCCTGGTGTCAGATGAGAGAGTTGAGAGCCTGTGGGTGAGGATTAAGGGGCAGGCCAATATGAGGGACACTCTTGTGGGTGTTTATTACAGACCACCTGATCAGGATGGAGAAGTTGATGAGGCCTTTTACAACCAGCTCCAAGTAGCCTCACAATCAAAGGCCTTGGTTCTTGTGGGGGACTTCAATCACCCAGATATCTGCTGGAAAGGCTACACAACCAGGAATATACAGTCTAAGAGGTTCCTCCACAATATGGATGATAACTTCTTAACCCAGCTGGTGGAAGAGCCAACGAGGAGAGAGGCACTACTGGACCTAGTACTGACGAACAAAGAGGGACTGGTGGAGGACACAAGGTTGAGGGCAACCTCGGTTGCAATGACCACAGAAAGATAGAGTTCAGGATTGTGGGTAGCATGCACAAAACAAAAAGTAGGACTGAAACTTTGGATTTCAAGGTGGCTAACTTTGTCCTTTTCAAGAAACTGTTAGGTGAAATCCCATGGGCTGTGGCTCTGGAAGGTAAGGGGCTCAAGAGAGCTGGGTGATATTCAAACGTTGCTTTCTCCAAGCTCAGGATCAGCGCATTCCCAAGAGCAAGAAATTGAGCAAGGGGAGCAGGAGACCTGTGTGGTTGAGCAGGGACCTTCTGAAAAAAACTAAAGTGGAAGAAGGAAGTTTACATGGAGTGGAAGAAGGCACTGACCACTTGGGAGGATTACAAGGGTGCTGTTAGACTATGTAGGGAAGAAACAAGGAAAGCCAAGTCCTCCTTGGAATTAAAATTGGCAAGAGATGTCAAAGTCAACAAGAAGGGATTTTTCAATTATATTGGAGGCAAAAGGAAAACTAAAGAAAATGTGGGCCCACTGTTGAATGAGTCAGGCACCATGGTAACAGAGGATGCAGGGAAGGCGGAGTTGCTGAATGCCTTCTTTGCTTCAGTCTTTACTGCTCGGGCCAGCCCCCAGGAGCCATGGACTTTGGAGAAATCAGAGAAAGTCTGGACAAAGGAAGATCTTCCCTTGGTGGAGGAGGACCAAGTTAGAGATCAGTTAAGAAGGCTGGATATCCACAAATCCATGGGTCTGGATGGGGTACACCCGAGAGTGCTGATGGAGCTGGCAGAAGTCATTGCAGGACCACTCTCCATCATCTTTGAGAGGTCTTGGAGAACAGGTGAGGTTCCTGAGGACTGGAGAAAAGCCAATGTCATCCCAGTCTTCAAAGAGGGCAAGAAGAAGAACCCAGGAAATTACAGACCGGTCAGCCTCACCTCCATCCCTGGAAAGGTGATGGAACGGCTCATCCTGGGTGTCATCTCAAAGCATATGGAGGAAAAGGCGGCTATCAGAAGTAGTCAACATGGATTCACCAAGGGGAAGTCATGTCAGACTAATCTGATAGCTTTCTATGATGGCATGACTGGTTGGCTAGATGAGAGGAGGGCGGTGGATGTTGTCTACCTTGACTTCAGCAAGGCTTTTGACACCGTCTCCCACAGCATCTTCATAGCTAAGCTTAGGAAGTGTGGGTTAGATGAATGGGCAGTGAGGTGGATTGAAAACTGGCTAAAAGACAGAGCTCAGAGGGTCGTGATTAGGGGCACAGAATCCAGCTGGAAGGCTGTAACAAGGGGTGTTCCCCAGGGGTCAGTACTGGGTCCTGTCCTCTTCAATATATTCATCAATGACCCGGACGAAGGGATGGAATGTACCCTCAGCAAGTTGGCTGATGACACAAAACTAGGAGGGGTGGCTGACACATCAGAAGGCTGTGCCGCCATCCAGTGAGACCTGGACAGGCTGGAGAGCTGGGCAGAGAGAAACCTAATGAAATTTAACAAGGGCAAGTGTAGGGTGCTGCACCTGGGGAGAAATAACCCCCTGCACCAGGACAAGTTGGAGGCTTGGAGAAAAAGACCTGGGAGTCCTGGTGGACAACAGGATGCCCATGAGCCAGCAATGTGCCCTTGTGGCCAAAAAGGCAAATGGCATCCCAGGGTGCATCAAGAAGAGCATGGCCAGCATGTGGAGGGAGGTCATCCTGCCCCTCTACTCAGCTCTGGTGAGACCCCATCTGGAATACCATGTCCAGTTTTGGGCTTCCCAGTTCAAGAAGGACAGGGAACTGCTGGAGAGGGTACAGCAAAGGGCCACAAAGATGATTAAGGGCGTGGAGCATCTCTCCTAAGAGGAGAGGCTGAGGGACTTGAGGCTTTTTAGTCTTGAGAAGAGAAGACTTAGGGGAGATCTAATTCATGCTTACAAATACTTAAAGGGTGGTTGTCAGGAGGATGGGGCTGGTCTTTTCTCAGTGGTGCCCAGTGACAGGACAAGAGGAAATGGGCACAAACTTGAGTATAAGAAGTTCCACCTAAACATGAGGAGGAACTTCTTTCCTGTGACAGTGGTAGAGCCCTGGAACAGGCTGCCCAGAGAGGCGGAGGAGTCTTCTTTGGAGACATTCAAAACCAAGCAAGTTCCTGTGCAACCTGCTCTAGGTAGACCCGCTCTGGTGGGGGGGGTGGATTAGATGATCTCCAGAGGTCCCTTCCAACTCCATATGATTCTATGACCCCGATGAGGACCTTCTTGTCTTTAAGGCACTTGAGGCTAAAATCTGGGGACAAATGGGCATGGAAGAGGCATGGCCTCTTGAAGACCAGCCCCCAGGCTCTTCTAACCTGGCCCCGTGGTGCCTTCAACACCTTAAAATACAGCCACAAGGTGCTGGGAAGGGGTGGTGGCTCAGTTTTGGGGGTGCTTTTATCAGTTTCCAAGGATTTTTAGGGCTTCCTGAGCTCACTCCATCCTCTCCATCCCACCCTCAACCACCAGACCCACAGCGTGGGCCTCCTCCCCCCTCACCACGGCCTATTTTAGTTCAATTTTAATTGCCCGGGGGACATTAAACCCCACCACGACCTGCCAGAAACTGTCCCCAACACAACACTGGTGCTTACTGGTCCCTTCGTCCACCGCTCTCTGCTGCGATGGCATCATCACGGGTGAGCCTTCACCTGCCCAAAGCAAGAATGAAGGGAGTTACTTTTAACACTGTGAGGTTATTCTGTGGGAAATGAGTATTTTCTTCCTCCCAGGTGTGGAATAATTCCTAAAATAAAAATGTTATTAGAATTATAGTGTTGTTCACACATTAAGGAAAGGTATAAAATTGAAACTTTTCCAGGGTAGAACACAGCGGTGGCTGGTATGCGAGGAATCCACTCCATCCCTGACTCCCTGAAAAATATTGCTTGCAAAAGCCACACGGATGTGGGAGTGGAGTGAGAATCCCACAGCCAAACTCTGTGATTACACAGCAGAGATGGGAACAAGGTGATCCTATGGAGCTGATAAGCTGAATATTTGCTACCCCGAGCCAACAGTCTGTCAGATTTTGATAAAATGCTGTCCTTTGTGCAAGCTTTGCTCATTCTAATGTCATTATCATACCAAAACACACCTCCAGCCTGGAGGCTACCCGCCTCCAAGGTGTGACCGCTCCTCCTTGAGTCTGTGCCCTGAATTTTTCATAAACTCTACCTTTAAATGCGAGGCGAGAGAATTTTACACCAATCATAATAAAGGTATGTATGACTAAAGTCACTCAAACTCCACCTTGAAAGCAAAAAATAGTATAAAAATAACCCAAGAACGGGGGGATGCTAGGGAAGATTGTGAACAAGTCAGGGAGGACCCCACCACACACTTCATTTGACTCCTGGGACCAGTCAAGGGGCTGAGCCTTTCTTCCCCCCCATAGGGATGTCTTTGGGAAGACTTAGACTGTACCGGTTGCTTCCTCGGGGAACTTAGAAATCTCTCTAGGGGGTTACCTGTTACATTTAGAGCCAGGCTGTGTTGTTTGTAACTTGGTCACGTGCTTCGTACCAATAACAATATTTTTACTTGCACGTGCTTTGCAGACAGTGTATTTATCACTGGCAACCCATATGAACCTTTATATCTGTTGCTTAAATAAACTGCATGCTTAAGTAGCTCGGTTTCTCATTGAACGCCACCAAACACTAGAATGTGGCCGTGCTAGTTCATGAGCAGGACTAGACTGAAGGTGCAGTCCCTTATTAGTGTATCCAGAATCGTGATAGTGTAATTTATTAAACGTAACTGGACTGAAAGTGAATTGGGCATCACTCAGAATTTAAACCTGACCGCCCCCAGCCTCCCACCTCGGTGAGGAGTGTTAGAACACAAGGGGGTTTATTTTCTGCCAAAACTAGTTTGCTTATTAACACAACACCAGGGCAGTCAAGGGGAAAAACCAACCATTTTCTTTCATCTGCTTCACATAGAGGGCAGGAAGGGAAACACAATTTCATGATTTCCACCTTTAAAGAAACAGTATTTGCTTTTTTTTTCCAGCCTTGCTTTTACTGGCTGCTGCCAGCTCTGTTCATGCTGGAGAGGCATTGTCCCAGTTGGAATCAGACTGGTTTGGGTGGGAAAGGACCTTAAAGACCACCCAGTTCCATGGGCAGGGACACCTCCCACCAGACCAGGTTGCTCCAAGCCCCCTCCAACCTGGCCTTGAACCCCTCCAGGGATGGGGCAGCCACAGCTTCTCTGGGCAACCTGAGCCAGGCTCTCACCACCCTCACAGCAAAGAATTTTTTCCCAATATCTCATCTGAATCTCCCCTCTTGCAGCTTAAAACCGTCCCTCCTTGTTCTGTTGTTCCCATCTCCAAACAATTGCTTCCCCACTTCTCCTCCTCCAAGGTTTTCCAGCTCCAATCCCCACTGTGGGATCCTCAGGTGGGGCTGGATGGTCCTTCAAACCCAGTGGAGTCGCAGAAACCACTCCCCATCTCCCCACCCCATGTGGGGCAGCTCTTAAATCCTCTAAAAAAAGAGTTTTGTGCTCATGTACCTGCATCACCAAGAGCTTCTGCCATCTCTGGGGCTGCCAAGGGGACAGAAGGACCCTCCAGGGACGAGCATGTCCCTCAACTCCACCACCACCAAGGTCAGCTTGGTCAAGAAGACCCCAAGAACCAGCCAGGTTCTCCTCCAGCCCCAGTGGTCTGCAAGGATGCTCCTAAAATAAAAACATAAAAAGCTCATAATACCCCCCAAAACCTCAGTGCTTCTCAGCACAGCCCTTTTTTTTCCTGAATTTCTTCATTTCCTTAATGCTCCTTTTCTCCTTTTCCCTCATTCACTCTGAATCTCCCACAAACAACTCAAAGTCTTCTTACAAACTGCTTTTTTCTTTCTAAATTCTTTGGGTTTTTAACCTTTCTCTGGATACCACCTTTTTCTAAAGCCCATGGTAAAAAATTAACGGACTCGTGTTTCTCTGAAGAGAAGCAAAACTGGTCCCCATGGAAGACAGTTAAATATTATTCACATTTACAAGAAAATACTTTAAAAAAAAATAGCGTACATCCACCAATGTAAACCAGAAAATGCTGCGTTTTCTCTGCCCCAACAAGCCCTTGAAATCCCCAACAGCCTCCTCTAACAAAGAGCTTCTATATTTACTAAAAATATACATATACAAACCCTGGTACCAGGTGTGCAGCTGCATTTGTTTATTAACAGCAGTGAAATCCAAATAAAAGCACCCGTACTTTGGACCTTCCTCAGTTTTCAGGAAAAATTTTCCAGCCTTTGTGTTTGCAAAGGTAAGAAGCAAATAGGGTATTTTAATTTTTTTTCCTCCCCAATCGCCTCTATTTTCGAACAGGATTTCATTAATGCAGCATTTTGCTGCTGTCCCCAACCCCCCAAAATCCAATTATTCCTGCCCCAAGCTTGGTGCGTTTTGGGGTAAAGCAGCAGGTGATGGAGGAAAAGTTAGAAAAAATAAGTGGGGATGGAGGGAGAAACTCGATCATCATTTCATGTGGAAATAGATAAAAAGTGCTTTTGTCTAATGCCCGAGAGTGAAAAATCCACGCTCCTGCCCCAGCAACACTCGAAAACTGTGGCAAAAAGAGAAAAATCCACTTTTCAGCTGCTGCCCAAAAGGAGACACCCCTCCCCTATTCAGCCACCCAAAAAAGGAGAACCCCCCTTTTCAGCTGCCCAAAAAGGAGAAACCCAGGGGACTAGAGCTGTCACCACAAGGAGACACCCTGGGGTCATCTGGCCCCCCAAGTGGGGGGGGCTTTTTCCCCTCCTTTCCTCCCTCCCAGCTTTTTTTTGCACTGTCATGAAGTGATTTCCCATCAGCTCAGGCTCCTTTTTAGATTAAAGCAGCTGTTCCTATAATAAATGAAAGAATCCGAGGGAGGGTGAGCAACATGGGTTGCATCAGCTCGTCACACCCCAGCCACAAGAGTGACACGCTTGGTTCTGAGGTGACAAATCCCACCATCCTTCCCCAGGAAGAATTTTCTAGCTTCTTGCACTTGAAAATTCCAGTTCCCATATTCAAAATGAACATTTAAAAACCACTAACTCGAGATCAAAGCTTCTGCTGGTGCCAAATAAATCTATTCTGGGCTCAAAAGCCCAGATTTTTCTTCCCCCCCCCCATCATAATCGCAGGGAAACTGTCAGGAAGGAGTTGGGAAAGGACAAAGGGGATGTTTCGTACCTCACAAAAATGGTGGTTTCTCTTCCCTCCGACAGCTCTTGGCAAAAGCTGCTGTTTATCGCCGGAGGAAACATTCCAGGAAGGAGGAGGAGCTGTGATGCAGATGTCCCACTGGGGGGATGGGCCTTTTCTCATGGAAAGATGCCGGGGGGGGTTCTTGGGGTCCCCCTAATCCCCATTCCCCCCAAAAGGTGCTGTTGGAGGAGCCCCAGAAGCAGACGGTGGGTGGTGGGGGCAAACCCGTGCTGGACGGACGGTGGGTGAAGACAACTCAGGGCTACAGGAAAGGGGAGGGGGGGCATTTGCAGTGCTCCCAGTCCACCCAGCAGGGATGGGGAGGCAGCAAAGAGCATCGGGAAGCCCCTCCCAAATTTTGCAGATGGCTCCAAGCTGGAAAAATCCTATTTTTGGAGGTATATGCTACAGGGAGAGAGCTCTCTCATCCCATCACCCCAAAAGTGGCAGCTGTGGGTGAGACTTCCAGCCACCCCTGTCTCCCCCATGTCCCCTGCCCCCCTCCTCCACTCAGCAAATGGGTGTTCGCCCTCCCTGGGGGGAGTTATCAAGGGCTATTAATTGTTTAGCGTAAATAAGTATGTTTTATTTAGAATAAATTTACTCAGGATTATAATACGGTGTGATTTGTGCTGTTTGCTGTGTTTACTGAACATGAGCAGCTGGATTCACTGACGCCTTTTAGGACACAATAGAGTTATTTTTCTTAGCAATTTTCCTTAATTGATTTCTCAATTTAATTTTCTTAGTAACTTTCCCAGTACATGGAGAACTGAAGAGTCCCAGGTTCAGGAAAAAGACTATCAGTGAGACATTAACAGCCTTCCCCCACCAAAAGACTAAACACAGCGCTGTCCCAGCCTTGAGGAGAATTAATTGCACTATTTGTGATGCTTTTTAACCCCCTCCCAACCTCTTTTTTTCCTCCTTTTTAACCCCCTGCGCTTCCTCTTGGCCTTTGCCAGGCTGCTGCCAGCACCGTGCCACCAGCGTCCCTCTCCTCCGCCTCCGCTCAGTCCCTTCCCGGGTGAGTTGTGCTGGGCTTGGGGTGAGAGCACGACCTGAGGATGAGGAGGGCACGGGAGGAAGATTGAGGGGGGCATTGGCAGTGGCAGGAACCCCAAAGATGGGGGGATGGGGAGGTTCTGGAGCACCCTGGAGCTATGGAAGGGTGAGGCAGGGACAGGGAGGGACAGGGACAGAGGCCAGGACAGAAGGATGCTCCTTCCAGCCCTCCCCTTCCCAGCTTGAAAACACCACACAGAGCCCAGATCATGTCGTTATTAATTAGCGCAGATGGTCATTGGCACAACATCATCACCGTCTCCCGCGTCCCCCTGTGGAGGGCTTGATCCTGCCCCATCCCTGAGCATCTCCCCCCTGGCCGCAGCTCGGCTGGTGGCCCCTGGCTCAGAGCTGGGTGGCTTCTTTCTGGCAGATCCACAGGGAGGTCGAGCTGCAGCTGCTGGTGCTGATCCTGCCCTCCCTGATCACCCCACAGGATCCACCTTCAGCCTGGGGGTTCAGCTGGAATCTGGGTGTGCAGGAAGGACCCCACGTCACACATGAAGGTCCCTCAGGGGATGGTGCCCACCCCAACACCCGTCCCCCTGCAAAGCGCTCACCGGCTCGGGTCCAGGCGGGAGCCGTTCACCCAAGTCCAGCCCTTCTCAAAGAAGAGGCCAATCCAGAAGTAACGGGTGGGGTTTTTGAGGGTTCTATTTATGAAATCCTGTAGCGGGGGGGAAGAGAGGGCAGGAGGTGACGCTGACGTGCCACAGGTCACCACCCCAAAACAGGCTCCAGCCTCCATGTCCCAGGACAGAGACCCTCCAGTGTCCCCCACACAAATACACCCAGGGCTTGGTGCTGTTGTCAGGTTTCTGGGCAAACCCTCGGCCCTTCCCCAGGTGCCACCAGCCCCATCTCACACCACCAATGCCACCAGTCCCTTTACCAGCTCCTCCTGGTCCCTCGGCATCATCAGCTCGCCACCCTGATTCACACAGTCCTCCCGGCTGGAATTCCAACAGTTGAGGTCATGGGACACCCAATAGCACTTGGTCCTGTGCGGCGTCCAGTTCCTGGGGCAGAGGGTGCACCCCTCATCCTCTGAAAGACAGGTCAGGGCCACGTTCAGCCACCAAGAAGCCACTTTGTCCCCTGCACATCCCAAGAAGGACAAGTGGTTTAGCCCCGTTTGCTCCCCAGGAACACGGGAACGTTCTGAGCTTTGCCTGGTTCTCTACTGGGGAACAGAATATTGGGGAATTTGGGCTGTAAGTTTTTGGGAAACCCAATGGTGCCGAGATGCACTGTGGCAGGGGGGCATCACCTTGTGGCTTTGATGAGCAGAAAACTTCCCTCAGCTCTGAGTAGACTTTCTTCAGGGTGGCGTCACCATCTCTGATGTTCCTGCTCACGTTCCCAATCATGTTCCTGCAGCTTCTGGGGTTCTCCAACCGCTGGTGGAGAACTGAAAGGGTGGAGAAGGGGACAGGGATGGGCTCCCCCAAAATCTACCTTCCTGTGGCCCAGCAGCTGCTGGGAAGTGTCTGGGATGGATCCTGACACCGAGTGGGTGCTCAGAGCCCTCACCTCATCCTTCCTGGTATCTCAGCCCACCCCAAGCTTTGATCCAAGCATCTCCTGGGGAGTGAGAACTGGCCTTGGGGTCCCGCCCCAGAGCAGACTCCAGATCTCAGGGTGCCAGCCTCAGACAAGCTCCTTTTGGGGTAGGGGGTCAACACCTCTGAGCTCCCACCCCCGCATTTGCAACCACCTCCCCCCCACCGCTTCTTTCCACTACCAGCAGGATGTGTTACCTCCACCCCCTGCCTGAGATCACACTTGAGATATGGAGGCATCAAACTGGACGGTGGCAGAAAGCCCCGTAGCTACGGAAGTGGTCTCTGCTGCAAAACAAGCTGTACCGGCCTCATAAGTACGGCCTAGAGGGTGCATACGTGATGCGAAGGTGAAGGGCTCCTCAACCACCTGCTGACTACCCCTTGCTGCCTACAGGCACTTGCAGCGCTTGAGCAGCCCCCAGCAGATTGATTTTGGGGTCTCTCTGAACTGGGCCCACACCAAGTTCAAACTATCATCCCCAGATCACTGCTGGTTCCAGATCTCCTCCCATTTGGAGGATCTTCCCACCTTTGGAGGATCTCCTTCCAAGATCCATCAGACATTTGAATCTCCCTCCTATCTGCTCGGTGTGGTTTGGGGGTTCTGAGGGCCAGTGCAGCGTCAGATGCCACCAGCAGCCTCACACCGGGCACAAGACTCATCTTGGCGGGTTACTTTGGCACCGTGAGATCGGCCACGCATTGACAAATCCTGCCCCGGCCAAAGTTGAGAAGTTCCCAGCAGCTCTAAGAAACTCTGATGAAAACCCACTTCCCCACACCTTCCACTGATGCGCGTCAGTCAACACCGATCAGAAAAGCAGATTTGCCTCCTACACAAGCCCTTGGGGTGCTGGACCCCTCCCTGCTCTATGCACGGCCCCTTTTGAGCTTTTGGTTGTCCCCATATCACCAAGCAAAG